TTTTAAGGGGATATCTTCTTACAGTATCGCTTCTTGTATATAATTGATAGTCTAGAACGTTACTAGCGTTCGGGATAACTTGGCTATCCATAAAAACTGATGGTGCCGTCTGGACCGCGCCTGTAGGATCCGCAGTTTAGCTTGGATGCTATATCATCAGAGCTTTGACTGGGTGTTGAGTTATAGTTAACTCCACATGAATCCCGGAAGAGAACAGGAAATTTTTTCTCCTTTAAAAATGCCGTGTCTAGTCCGCTTTTCGCCGAGGCCTTCTATCCTCTTAGGATGCTTAGATCCTGTATCCCGTAAGCTCTCGTCAAAAGATACTAAGATCAATCTTTAGGAGCACGGCAATAAACTCTTCGGGGGGGCATAGTTGACGTGGTGTGTAAATATCGATATTTGCTGCGCTCGTCAAATAAGCATGTGGCATGACCCTACATCTGAACTAGGCTAATGCAAGGTACGAGCAAGCAGCAGACTGCATTGCGGACAGGCTATGTACTATGTAGCTTAGGCGATCGGCATTGGCTTCTGATGCTTACAAAGAAGTCGTTCAGAAATTGTTGGTGTCGTTCAATGGCTGCTTAGGGGGTTTCTCTCGCTGAGAAACTAACGAGATAGTTGCCCCTACTTACTTAGGTAGATAGGTACTACATACGCCGCCGGGATAATTCTGCTTGGGCCCACTCATGGCTTTCTTAAAAATGTCCGCTCTTGACTTGTCGTAGAGGTGACGTATTAGCCTACTGGGGACTTTATTAGTCTGCATGTGGTAAACCATTCTATGAGCTTAGATACGCTAGGAGGTTTATCTCATGGAAGTGAGGTAGGCTGTAGGTTCGTTGGTTGTGCCCATACTACCTGTTAAGGAGGCTTCTAGGATAGTTCTTCTTGAGTGGGCGTGTGCGATGATCGGCGGATAATATCACGACTGTCACTATTCGTGACACGTTTGACAAGAGTAAAAGCTCGATTCCACCAATGCAGATAAGCTAGGAAGCTTCAAAAGCTTTCCCGCTAGGTTGAGCACGACAGGTCTTTGCGTTACATACCACAAGGCAAGATGAACATTGCTCTCTTAAGGTTAGATATTCGGCTACTTGAGGTTATTGCTGAATGGACCTGTTGAATGGGCGGGTTAGATAAATTAATTTGAAGACCTTGATGAGCGAGGAAGTCTCACGACTAATCAGACCTCGAAACTAGGCACACAAGAGGTAATATTGAGTAGGTGCATCGCGATGAATATAAGCTGCTGTACGAATCTTATTACCAATCCCGACAGCATCTCAATTTCATATGCGGAATTCGAACCGCGCTATCGAATATAGTGACTGGGCGCATCTAGAGATCTCTCATTGGTGGTGCACAACTTAGAACAAGCTCAAGCAGCTGGTTATAAGAAGGTAGTCATCGTAGCACTGCGTATCAGAAAGGGCGGAGGAGCAGAGTGAAACAGAATACAATGAGACCATTACACAAACATGGACACAGTGGCAGAGCACTCCGCTTCGACTTGCTGGTTATCAGTGATCAATCTAGTCAAGACGTAGCGGGAGGGTATCGACAGTTGACGGGACGGAGCGTTCAAGGATACGTGCTTGAGAAACAGTCAGCTGCGGCTGGAAAGATGGCTGGAAAATTAACTTGCGACTTGACCAATATAAACTTCATGTTCATCTAAAGAGATATAGATTCAAAATATTCGATCAAGACCTATTGCGGACGACTCATGTAATAATAATAATGGGAGACATGCTTGGCAAAGTCTGAGAAGTAGTTTAACTATGGACTATGGGTGACTCCTATACTAGAGAGCTTGCATCCGTGTTTGTGTTGCACAGCCGATAAAAACAAAATATGTTAGGTTGATTTAAAGTCTTTACTGAGTTACAGTTACATAAAAGCGCAGTAGAAGATACAGTAGATACTGTATGTAGGCGTAGGCGTACATCATCTTATGTGTCATAGCTTTTTGAGCGTCGGTCGAAAGGCGAATAGGGCGGTCACCAAGTTTGTTTCTCTCCCATATCCCATATCCCAGATAGCATATGTATTTTGATCCTGTCCAACTATATAGCAGTGTTGGATCAGTCTATGAAGAAAGAGGAAATCTGTATGTACTGTTTCTGCAAAGTATGTACATGGGATTCGCTCTGATCCCTTTCGCCCATCTCACCGCGTTACGCTGCGCTTAGAAAAACAACGCGACTTTCCATTCTAGTTAGTTAAGCGCGTCTCTCCCTCGGCAGTTAAAAAAGATCTGGCAATAGATCCGTCAGCCGATGTGACCTAAGCCGCCCGGGCCATTGCCTACTCTCTCCCCGACGAAACATGTCCTGGTGGTGCTGTAAGCTAGTTCACCGAGTCCGGACTTCACATAACCGCCGGGGTATGCGCAGCGCGAAGAATTTGACATGAGACTCCGAAAAAGTGTAGCTTGCTTAATTTCTCCGATATTATTTTCGGGTTATTGAAGTATGTAGTAAATTTCTACGTGTAGTATAATCATATAATGATATCTATGTTGTGCCAGTCATACCTATTAAGAGATATAATAGTAGTTACCATTAGAATGAAAAATCTTCGTTCCTTTCTGTATGTCTGTTGCTTTGTCTTACTCCGACAGTTGTCCGCATAAAATTTTTTCTTTTTTCCTGAGTCAAATACCTGCCTCTCTCCGATATCCTGGCCCCGAACGACGGACTAGAGGCACAGTATCTGTAATGCGTAGGTACTTGAATGTTGCTCTACTATTACTAGTTTACCCTTTAGCATTATGTATTCTTAATAATAGTAGTATATACACACTGTGCTTCTATGGTTTTCGTTCCATAGGTCCCCACCGTTAACAAGCCTGCGCTTTGAGCCCAATTCGACGGCGCGTGAGGGTGGTAATCCGATGGAGGTTGAACTACACCCCTGTCCTAGCTCAACTAGGCAACTGGGTAGCGCGTGTACGGCGTGGCCACCAGGAATCAAAGCCGGGTCCATCAAGTAACCAGGAAAGGGAAAGTCGAAATACGTATGTACATTAGGTATGCATGTAGTGTAGGTATGTATGTATGTATGTTGTATGTATGAATCTGAATGACATTTTCATTATGGCGTAAGTAGACCATAATCATATGTTCTGTCTATGTACAAGGTGTTGCACTTACATATACAACTCTCGGGACTTAGTGAATGTACATATTGCTGCATCTGCCTTTTGAGAACCGAGATAGAACACGAGATCGATTATCTCTTAAATTCAACAGATCATTCGGCTTCGCATGGGGTTTGCACATAGGCCATAAGCCCTGCCTCGCCCAACCTCCTTTCGTGCTTTTAACTGTTGCGGCTGCGTAGGTATGCGTCTCCTATTATTTATTTTGTTTAGGTTCGTTTCGACCATGTGAGGGCTAGGACACGTAGGGGCATGTGCCATGTATGTATGTAGGGGCTCAGCCTTTTTCTAAGCGGTGGAGAAAGACTGGAGGTAGAGATTCTGGTAGAGGGAGCGCTGGGAGCATCAGGGCTCAACATCTCTGGGTCGGCTGGCTAAGAATTGTTCGGTTTTGTGGAACACTACGTATCATGCGTGGCTGCATTTTACTACCTAATGTATATATGTACTCTATTAGAATCGTTAGAATACATACCCTCTCCTTCTTGGCTATAGTCCCACTGCCCCCGAGCGGACCAGTAACTTGGTGGAAGCTCTCCCCGGACCCCTGCTGTTAAGCTTAACCTGTAAGCAGCCTGAGCGGTCGAGGTGTCATCCCAGTTGGTCGGGCTCTTAAGCAAGCTAAGATGACAAGGATCATAAAAAAAAAGGAAGAAAAAAAAAGGGTAAAGCTCATGATTCCACGGAAGACTGCAATATGTACATATGTCAAAGAGTCCAAGACGGCAGGGCGGTAGGGCCGGCCTCAGTGGACCCGTCCATAATATCCAGGTTCGAAGGGGTAGAATACCTCATACATACATACAATACTTACATATGTACACATGGTATGGCCTAAGTAAAGCCACCCGCTCGATCCCGTTTTTCCCATACTCACCAGCCAACTAGTGCACCTTGCTGCAGTCCTCCTAACTCAAACCAAAACAGAAAGGAAAAAAAAAGGTCTTTTCTTTAATCTTTCATACGTACGGTTTTTCTTCCTCTTCACTCCTACCCACCCTCGCACAATACAACCGTGACGTCTGGGGACTACCAATAAACAAGCTCTTTGGTCTGACCCGAGATCCTGGGGAATAATAACGGTCGACTTGGACTCGCACGATATATCACTGCAACGCCTCGCTCGTCTAGACTTATTGGCTTATGTTGTACGCTGCTCGCAGACTTATCAATTTTGTCAAGGTGCAGAGAGGACGACCTTTTAAAAGGCCAGGGGATTGTGTGTCAGTATCGGCGTGATACTATCCAGTTGATTGGCGAAGCAGTATACATTCTCGAGACACGCAGCAGCCTGACTACAACCCCACGAATCTCAACTACTTACCCCAAGCTACACCCAAGCTACAGTGCCCAGAACACGTGGACCAGTGTGACTACCCGAACGTCGATAGGGCAAGGCAGACCGTCCACTGGTACACGTATATACTTGTATGCAATTGGGTATTTTTTTCCAAGAAATACCTGTCACGAGATTTGGATACCAGCATAAACTCAGAGTCGTCTTGTTGTTACTAGGTCTTTATCTATCTATAAGACGTTGAAGTGGTTTATTAGGGCCGAAAGAAGAGACAACCCTTTTTTTTTCTCCCCTTTTGCTTCCCCGTCTCCGTCTTGTCGAACGACAATCTATTCCCCAGCGTAGCGCCGCCAAGAATACTGGATGTCGTATTTACCCTGACGTATTATCACCCCACCAAGCAACACTACGAATTTACATATACCAACAACGATAACGCGACTACGTAAAGCTACCGCCGTAATTGTTGCATTACGCTCGACTCTTAGTTAGACGACGGCGTGTTCGTTGCGGTTGTGCTGATTTTACAACATGTCTCCTAAATTACGACCTCTACAGTTGCCCTTGTTAGTGGAGGAGAGACGAAGGAAAGAAGAAGAAGAGGCAGCCCAGCGAGAGATAGAAGCCGACGTACCGTACAATTTTTATACCACCGACTCTTTCTCATCCGACGCGACATCACCAGTGACGCCAACGTTTTCGACGCGTGGTCATTTGCGCTACTCTAGCTCTATGTCATCCTTCGACCTTGCAACGGTAGCCAGCTCCGAGAGCCCTTCGTCGCCAACGCAAACGCAAACAGCACAGAACTCGAGCAAACGCGTACTACCAGACGTGAAAGAAGAACCTATAGAATGCGAAGACTCGGAATCGGAATCGGAATCTGATTATGACGACGATGATGCGTCTGAGTTATACCACTGTTTATGTACGTTGCGTTGCACTCATCTAGAGTCTTATTGTTCTCAGTTCTAACAAGTTTTAAATTATAGGCGACGAGCCTTGCATCCACAGGGATGCCGATCTAGTACAAAGCACATCGAATTTCTATACGCAAAGTCGTGTAGGCGACTATGACCTAGGTTTCTTTAGCGATGGCGATTTTAGTTTCAGTTTGCGCTCGTCTAAGAAGCGTAGAGACAATTCCGAGTCATCACTTGCAGGATTCTCGCAGCGATTGGGTTCTAGATTCCCGTCTTTTACGAGGTGGAAAACGACAAAGCCGTCAAGTATCATCAGTTCCCCTGTATCTGACTATGCATTTGAGCGGCGACCAGTCTTTTCTCGAGCAACTTCAAGTCGATCTTCGTCAGTCTCAACACCTAGTCGACATCATCATGACCGTTCAAACGAACCCGTCGTCCCCCCTACACCTGCCCTGTCACGTTTCGGGAGCAGCGATAGCTTTATGCCCCTGGACAGGACTATCGATTCTAAGCAAACCAACGACGTCCTTTCAGCCATCGAGCAAGAGCGTAAGCAGACAGTAACACCGCTTCTACCGCCTATGATGGCTTCTGCTTCGACCGAGCACATCCTGATGCAACCCTCCCCGTTAGAATCCCCGAGTGTCGCCTCTCCAGTTTCTCCGGTAGGGGATGATGTTTATTCGTCTGGTCTACTATCTCCGCCACTCAGCACGAGGCCCTCAAATTCATCACTCCGTCTTGTACCAGGCGCAGTAGAGCTTCCCCAACTTCCTGCGCCAGATGCCTGGTCTGACCGTTTAGGACATGCGAATTACACGATTGTTCCAAAACCGTACAAGCCTGAAACCGTCGATTTAGATGCTCTACGACGATTTCGAGCGGATTGGGAGACAGCGCGAGTAAACTACACTAAGCACCTCGCACGAACAGGCGAGCATTACGGCCAAACGTCTAAAACCTACGCACTTACAGAAGCCAAATGGGCCGAGACTCAGCGGACTTGGCGTAATCTCCACGATGAGATAGCCGAGGCGATTGTTGCTACTGGCGAAGCGATAATTTGCGAGAAATTTGACGAAGATGTTTTAACTACAGTTCCGAGAATATATGCCGAAGGGAAATTTCCGGAGCGCGGCGACGAAGATATCGTTGGCCCAATGGTTCGAGAGGCGACGATGATGTCTCTCGATGGCGCGGATCGTAAAAGTTTCTGGCGCAATCTAGCCGGTAAAGTCGGCTTGAAGAAATAAAGCCTCATTTATATTATGCGGTCACTAATCCTATGTGACCCTCTCTCTTACGACCAACAACTATTTAATGACGATTTACGACTTTGATGTCACTTACGCTCATTTTCCATTTTTTCTTCTATCTTATGTCTTGCAGCATAGAGAGATACCATTTGCTCGTTTATTTGGATACCACATAGAGGACGACCGCGACGATTAGTATTAGCCCGCTCTAACGACATTCGCATGCATCGTAAGGGCGTTGGCGTATCGAATTCGAAAATGCTTATTTATTTATTAAAAAAAATTTAACACCCCTCACCCCCCCCTTTGCCCTTTGGGTCATAATCTTGATGAGGCTGCCTCGGCCCGAGACCGAAAGCAGCCCCCCCTGCATATACTTCATTCTCCGGATCATTTCTTTGGCGTGTCTGGTCCTGATATTGCGCAATATCGGCGACCTACGTTATGCATCTGCACATACGTGGCTGGGATCGACAGAATATGCCGACTCTCGGGACATTACATAGATTTGCTCATTTTCTTCCCTTCTATTTTGTACCCCTTATTCCTCATGTATACAGAATTCATACCCAACGTCTCGAGGGCGGATACTGTACCGGTTACATATGAGAAACAAAAGTTTTTTGAAATCGCGCAGCATTGGAATTTTTGGAGAACGGGATGTGGTAACTTGGATATCTTTCCGGATATCTTTCTAATTGGTAATCCTTAGTGTTTACCCGCATATCATTGCATCGGCGCGTGGAGTGCAGGAGGGTGAAGCAAAAGAGAAAAAAATTTCAACGGAAGAGGATCGCCTACTGTAATAGCTCTGTGTGTATTACGGTACCTGCTGTACATCGTCTTGTCTAACTTTTGGGGATCGAAGAAAAGGAGGAGAACGATGATGCCACAGAGCACAAGTTTATCTGGCGTGTGGATGAGGGGGCGATATTAGCTTGCTGGGTCGATCATCAGAGATGACCGCAGCCTCCGGCTCTCAAGGGTCAATTTCGACTCCGGTTAGCGGGTCTTTTGTTGCCCTTGGGGGCGACGAGGAGACGATATGTGAAGAAGGATAAGAATCGTGTATATGAATAACCTTACCATGTAATTAGATCAAGACAACATCTAATTTGGATAAGGAAACCCCGTGGAAAGCATGAGTGTTTTTTTTTAGTATATTATCGTGCATGTTTTGGGGTTACGGTTGGTGGATGATACAGTATGTATGATACGGTATGTTCGGTTTACTAGATCTTCCACCCACGGATTCTTCGTGCTTTGTGGCTTCTGCAAAGAGTGAAAGGGGGAGAGAGGGGGGCGACTCGAGTTTGACAGCATATATCGGATGGCTCAATGTTAAAACGTCTACGGTAGGGTAGTATTCGAGGCGTCAAGAAGCATACATTGCCTCTAGACCATATGTACCACACCAGTTGCAAGCGATATAATCTAGCCATCAGAAAGTCTATTGAAAGATCGGCAACGTAAAGTATGTACATGGAGCACTCGAGAATACGCCACACATCGACGCCCAGCCTCGTATGTGTATAGTTGCTCTAATTCCCCGATTCCGCAGCAAAGGACCTGCATGATAAATAGAATAACTAATGTATATAATACTTAACGGAATAGCTTGGTTAGTTTCTAGAGTATATACCTGAAGCCAGCTGGAGTAGTTGTATTTGGGTTATCGGACTGCGCTTGGAGCTCGTCCGACTCGGAGGCCTCGCGGGCAGCCAATTTCCTGTTTTGTCTCTGCAACACAAGCCTCGCGATAATAGCTAAGACGGCAACAAGGAGCGCGTCGGCTGCTGTGGCGCTTCCACCAGCAAGGTATCGAGGCCCGTCGCTGGATGGATACCTTTGAATTAAACACAGTCTACGGTCAGCGCTCTTGTACATACATTCTCCATACGTACTCCATGTTTCTGCTAAGAGCCTAAGCTCCATCACGAGGTTATGTGCAGAACTCGGGAGTCGGTGTGGTTAATTACGTACATGTAAGTGCCATAGATATTGGCCGAGTTTCCGATCATGTTGGCGAAGGAAATGCAGGCGCTGCGCTTGACCAGAGGGCGTGGAAAACTGTTAGCTACCCAGGCGAGAAGGATCTATGATTTGAACATTTTCTAAATTAGCCATGCCCACGACTTTTGATAGAACCGACTATCTACGTATAGGTACGCATCGCCGTATTTGCTAAAGAGAATAGGGGGAATCACCTGATAAGCAGGAACCGCACCCATCGGCAAGAGGAATAAAGCGAAGAAACGAACTGCATTGTTGAGCGTGGCCACTACAATAATGTTGCCCGCGACAGAAATCAGTATCAAGCATATAATATGAATGCTGCGGTCTGCGAAGCGCCCGGATGTATACGTCACGACCAAGGAAACCAAGAAGCATACTACCCAGACGGGTACGGTTAGGAGCAGGGTCTCGATGTTGCCGTATCCTAAAGTCTGCAGGATGGTTGGGAAAAAATATTGAAAGGTCTGAGAAAGGAGTGACGCATGCTGCAGCAATGTGAATAGGTAGAGGCGTGGGTCGCGCAGTGCCAGCATTACCCCTTCTTTGATGGATGAGGCGTCGGCCACATCCACCTCTCCCGCGTCTTTGACAAGCCTCCACTGCGCGTACGCGCGTTCTTCTGGAGATAGCCATTTCGTCGTAGCTGGGTAGTTTGGCAAAATGAAGGCCGAGCAGATGGCAGAAAATACCGTTATGCTACCCTCGATTATGAAAAGCCATCGCCTTTTTCAGTTAGCCAGCTTGCTTAGGTATATGGTGGATATGTGCTTACCATCCAGCGATGCCATGGGCGCCGTTCAAATTTCCCAGAACCCCAGCGCCTAAGAGACCTCCAAAAGCGTTCGCCACCGAGTGCCCGCAGTAGAACCATGCGATCCTAAGGGCCAACTCGGGCCGAGTGTACCAACTTGACATTAGGAAGATTGCACCTGGGAAGAATGGCGCTTCCGCTGTAGATACGTTAACGCTTTAGTTCAAGAGCATGCCACTTTAGAGCATCCATGCTTCTCTCATGCATCGGGATACCGTTCATGAAGGACTTTTTGTTGTTCGATAATGAAATACGTACCAAAGCCAAGAAAAAACCGACAGATGACTAGAGAAGCAAACGTGCGAGTCGCCGCCTGAGCCGCAGATATAGCTCCCCAGATCGTCATAGCTACCCCTAGATAGACAGAGGGCGACACTCGGGTTATCAGAAGATTTGATGGAAGCTGCATGAGGATGTATCCGACGAACAGGATGCTCGTTGCGAGGTTGAAGTCTGTGCCCGTCATGCCAAGGTCATCTTCTAACGTCCCAAGACGGGCTTGTGAAAGGTTGCTGCTCCCTTTTATTTAGATAGGTTCCAAAAAAAAGTATTCAACGCGAGAGTTTCTCATAACTTACTTTCGATCAAGGAAGTTGAGCATATACATCAACATCAGCATCGGAAGCAGATGAAGGTCGACTTTCTTAGTAAGCCTCTTCGTTATCTCACGATGCCAATCCAAGCTCGCTGCTGAAAACTGTCTAAACAAGACGGCCTGCTCATCATCAACACTGCAGTTCCTTGGCTCATCCGCAATTGCTTCTCCTAGGTGTTGAACCTCTTCGTTGAGTTTCTCCATAACGCTTATGCTTCCTAATTCTCTATGGGCTATCACCCGACCCTCCAAGTCTCTCCTAGCAGCTCCGTCCGGTGGGACAACCTTGATTTAAACTGCGTGAAGACTTGCGCATTAGTCAGTATTCAAAAACACCTACCTACATAGGTAGGTGATCTTTCTAGCTCGGTATTGAAAAATCTTAGGTTACCGTTCCTCGGCAATGCAATTTACCGCCTGTATCTCAGCCGGATCGAGCCATGATGGGACTCTACGGGGCTATCAGGATGTGGGGATAGCGGGGGAGTCTGAGATCAGATGCAACTATATCAGTATTACAAAAACCTATACGCTATTTGATTCGATGAATGGATAGACTATCTTCTCATAATACTCCATGTGGCTTGAGAGAACCCTAGTATTAACGTTAGGAGAATGACACAACACCAATGCGAGATTAAGACCTTGTAACCCCAAGGCAAGTGGGCACCAGTCGGAGAGCCCAGATGGATATCGTGATCGTATCTATGAACTGTGTTGTCAGGATCATCAGGAAGAAAGCAAACTGCTACGACGTAGAATCCCAGAAATCTATTAGAAGATTTTATTCCCATCTCTCCACATGTCCGGTCAGAGTTGTCCCGAGGGTCAAAACATCCTCGATCCTACCTACGATGTTTAGTTTAGACTTGTTTATAAATGCTATATTAGTATAGCGATGTTACACGTTCACTGGACAAAAGAAGTAGGTCTACACACATTCTTGTAGTCGGCAAGCTACTAAGGCGATTTAGTCAATGATGAGTCCAACGCGTAAAGCTTAGCATCCAAAAACCCTCATCGGTCTTGTGTCTACTCTATGTAAGCTAGGGGTATTTTACCTCGAATTCTATGGTCTTCATTATCTTTTAGTGAGCTGATGTCTAAGGTACGATTAGTTAAGGGGTTTCAGAGAATGGAGCCAATATTAAGGCCTTATTATGAACCTTTAACGCCAGTCCATCTTACTACGGTTTCTAGATAACTATTCCATAAGCATTGAAGTTTTGAAATACCTAGATAAAGAGGCTCTCTGTATGTTTACCAATGATCTCAATCTGGGTCCTTGTGCGGAAACGTATATTTCATCACAAACTTAACCTGAGCATCATTTTGACGGGCCCATTCAAAGGCCAAGTAAGACACTTGCTATGTTAGGACTGTTTATAAATGTATTTCTGGATACTTATGGTAATAGACGTTCTACTAATTGGAACCGATAGTCTTAATATGAACACGGTTAGAATACTCGACTACCTATATATCTCTTGATATTTAACGGGCGAATAAGCCATATTATATAACCAGTAGACACTGCAAGCCTCGTTAATCGTGTCAATAGCTCAACGTAAATTTATAATGCAAGTTATATACAATTCATAACCCTAGTGGTGTTAGATAGTTTTACTATATACCTACAAATAATAAGTTAACATAGTATCTTGAATAATTCTGCATCGGCATATCCCCAAATAATATAAATTAAGTTGTCCTAGGTATAAATTCACTATGAATATTTGACTCTTACTTTTTAATAAGGGTTATAGTAATCGATATATACATTGGGATAATGCATTATCAAGAGTATATTCGCCTTCAACTTTGGTCATTAAACCTTCAATACTCCTTACAGCAACATGATTCGCATTTTGCTCAGGAACGGTCTTCGCCAAATAAGTTAAAGCACCTTTACTAAGGCCACCCTAATGGAGGCCACCTTAAAATCGCAACGCGTTCGCGATAAAATTTATATATAAATTATTATATAATTTTATTAATATTTAATCTATTAAAAAATAAAATATATTATTTAATTTTTTATCTTTTAAAAATTTTAAAATACTTATTTTTTTAATTTAATTACGTTACGTTACGGTAATAAATAACGTTTTTAAAAATATATTTTTACAATAAACGTTTAAAAATCATTTTATTTTAAAATATTACCTTATAAATTAAATATTAAACTATAAATTATAAAAAAAATATTTAAAAAAACGTTAAAAATTATCGAAATATTAAAAAAAAAATTAGTTTAATAAATTATTACGTTAAACTATATTAACCATACGCCGCTTTTATATTAATTTAAAAATATTACGAAAAAATTATTAACTTATAATTACCGATTTAATACCTTTAATAAATATTAACATATATAATTTTTAATCTGTTATTTTAATATTAAATCGATTAAAACTTATTTAATTAATTATAAATATATTAATAACGTTATAACCAATAATATTAATATATTTTTTAATTAATTTAAAACTTTTTATATTATTAATATTTTTATTACACATATTTATAACATAAATAAAATAAAAATAATAAAAAAGGTTAAAAATAATAAAATAATTATTAAAAAAATTTATAAAAAATATATTATTATTAAAAATTATAATAATAAAACTTAAACGTTAATTATTAAATACGTTAATAATAATAATAAATCCTTAAATTTTTTTATTATATATATAAATAAATATATATAATAATAATAATTTTTTAACAAAAATAATATTAAATTTAAAAACTAACATTTTACTATATCTTTTAACGGTTAAACTAATAATAATATTGTTTTAAAATAGTTTTATAAAATTTTTTTATAAAAAATAAAACCTTTAAATCTCTGGTAATAACATTTATTAATTTTTAATAATTACAATAATTATATTACAATAAAATTTTTTTAAAAATATTTTATAAATAAAATTTATATTATTTTTATCCTAACGTATTTATTTTATATTTTATAAATTATTAATATAAATATATTTTTATCGGTAAAATAAAACTATTGTTAAAAATTTATTAAAATATATTAATTATATTATATTTTTATTTTTAATAAAAAGGAATTTATTATAGTTTATTAAATAACATAAAAAAAACGTTTAATTAAAAATAATATATTAATTAATTAAAAAATTATAAAAATTTATTTTAAAAATTATAATAAAATTTTAAATTACTAATTTATAATTTAAAAAATTTAAACCGTTATTCCAACAATTATAAATCTAATTATTAACCTTAAAAAATTTAATTTTATTAAAAAAATAATTTTAATATTTTTAAAAACGCTTTTAAATTTATAAAATTTTAATATTTTAATAAAAAAATTAATTAAAATTAATATAATATTTTTTAAACCTATAATAAAATTTTTATTTAAAAAAATTAATAAAACTTTTAATAACGTTATTATAAAATTAACAATAATAAAAATTTATGTTAATTATTTAAAAAAAATATTAGTTTAAATAAAACCGTAAAAATAATATAAAATATTACCGAATTTTAATTTAACGTTTATAAATATTAAAACTATTATAAAAAAAAAAAATAATTAAAAGTTTAAAAATTAAATAGTATAATTATAATGACTATTGCTATTGGTACACCCTTGTTTTGCTATCGGAGGCTTATTGGTACACCTTGTACAATAGGTACATCCCCACCAATTTTTTCAATTAAATCAACTATACCACATTTTAACCCTTCAACCCTCATAACTTATTCAATCCCGCAACCTAACATATAAAATCTATATCGCTATTTTCGCGTCAATTAGGGCTTTCTAATGATATAAGTCTTGATTAGATGCATGCGTTATATCAAAAGCTAGTCAAATATGTATTAAATGCAGATGCGACCGCAGAAAAGGGTATCACGTGGTCTCCCCAAGAGCCACCACCACCACCACAAATACCCGAATAACTTCATATTGAAGGCCTGCACTAGGTTGATACTTATATCATTAGAAGGCCCTAATTGAGGCGAAAGTAAAGATGTATTTTACATAAATCGGATGGTGGTATTGAATAAGTTATGGGGGTTGATATATTTGATGAGGCTCTGGTATGAGGCTCTTTTGCGGTCGCATTTACATTCAATCAAATACATATATATTTATATTAAAATAACTTTTGAAATAACGCATTTATATAATTGAAACTTATATTGTTAGAAACCTTTAATTGAGGCGAAAATAGCGATATAAATTTTATATATTGGAATGCAGGATTGAATAAGTTATGAGGGTTGATTTGGTAGGAGTTCAAAATGGGTGGGATGTATTTGAATGTATTGGGTGTACCAATAAGCCCCGATAGCAAAATGAGGGTGTACCAATAGCAATAGTCATTATAATTAATAATTTTAACGTTAATTTTAAAAATAAAATTTTATTAATTAAATTTATAACAAAAAATTATATTATTATTAAAACGTAATAAATTATAAATTAATTAAATTTAATTTAATTAAATATTATTAATTTAAAATAAATATATTTATTTTAAAAGTTTAAAAATTTAAGGTGGCCCCTATTAAAGTGGCCCTAGTAAAGGTGTTTTAATTTATAAGCCTATTTGAGTAATAAATACGCTAAAATTCCATTAACCTTTTACATATCCAAGGTTGCATATTTTAGATGAGACTAACTTATACCTTTGGATCAAATTGCGTATAAACCAATCCTCGTTTATTAGATTAGTATCGCATACCTTAGTTGTTTCGACCGAATATGATGCTTTAGATCTGACGATAAAAGCTGCCAAATATACTAAGTCTATTGCCCCAAATACAATAGGAATTAGAAGAGTATTAAAGATACTACAAGCCGATCGTCGTTGCTTCTTAGAAGGCATGGGTTTAACATATGGTGGTCTCTTTCTTCATGGGTCGTAACTCTGCTTTGATTAGATTCTTGTGACTATCTAGTAATATAGAAGAATGTGAAAATACAGAGATATATGCAGTTCATTGTTAGTAATAACTTACCTTTGAATCCCATACCCACTATCCAAAGTGGTTTCCCGTGAGTCCCTCTTCTATAAGAATAGGAGATAGACCTATCATGATCTTCGGTACAGTCCATGACTAAAACTAAAATTCGAACTCGGGATAAGTTATGTCACCATAGAGGCAGAAACCTTCTACTAGTTGACGGTCGTGCATTCCAGAGGTACTATCTCCTAATTCGTTCCCGGTACCACCTGTAAAGTTACCTGTTATTAATCGAGCCGTATGAGAATTCGAATAAAGTAAGCGGCCTTGAATATGCATAGGAAACTCATTTGACGGCGACCTTAAATAGTAAAATATGTCCGGGACGACGTCGATGATCTCTACGACAAGTGTTTGAGTCCTAGGAACAAGATCGGCGCGACTGAGAGGCCATATGTATCTATCTGCTAGATCTCCCACATAATCCACACCTTTCTCAGCAGCTACGATGCCCATTTTTCTACCCCTGGCGGGTAGCAACAGGGCAATAATCTGGAGAAACTGTAGGCTAAGTCTATCCTTGATGCTGCCGAAAGAACGTAACGGGGGTGGAGAGTAGCGGGTCAAACGTCCCTGATCGTCAAATAATATTTCCAGAGATCGCAGATGTCGTATCGCCTCTATGGGTATGGTACTGAGGAATTCGCATCCAGGATATCGTTTAGGGGGTAGCGTTGTATTACCTACGAGGGAGGACGGGCGACTATAGTAACAAAAGGTACGGACGACAAAGTGATTATGAGCAAAGAAAACAGCTTCGGCAGCCTCTCGAAAAGCCCGGCTGACGAGAAAGAAAGCAGTAGGGGGAGCCCAGCACCGACAGAGAGGCGAATACGCGGCGTGGCGCCGGGAGCAGAAACACCCTGTGTAGGTCTGATCGCCTGCCGTGCCACGCCTCTCGCAATCGTAAAATTGGCAGGCGTAGTGGAAACATCTCCAGCAATGCGATTCGGGCCCGTATCTTACCCTACTATCTCCATGAGGACACGTTAGGCAGCTCTTGCCAGCATCCTTGCTTGATATGCAAGCTCGGTGGTCATTTGGGTGACAATACGGCGGTCCGTACTTACGAGAGTCGCACTCTCTGAAGGTATGATATCCTGCTCCCGGATTCCATCGAATCTTATTGAAGGGTGTTACAAGATCTGTATACTCTAGGATCCTGATGCGTATCTCGGGTGGAAGACGTAGAAATTGAAATGTGGATGGTGGTGCTAGGCCAACGGCTCGTTCAGCAGCACTCCAGGCTAGTTGGCGAAGTTGACGGTGAGGTTTACACCCAAGCCGAATATGGCATCGTCTCAAGATAGGCAGTTGGCGAAGAGGTGCCAGTACGAGGTTTGCGGCATTCGCCCGTCTAGGCTCGCAATCGCAAATGAGTGCTAATTCCAACTGCCGGGGTTTAATATGAGGGGCAATATGGTCGATAGCGGCCTTCCACTGAGATATAAGAGGGTCGTTATCCCTCAGCCCTTCACTATCATATCCCCAATACCTCTGTCCGCAATGCTTGGTACCGGCAACATTAAGGTGGATCTTAAGAGATGTAAGATATGAGAGGGAAGATGTGTTAAGCCTTATAAGAGGACCCAAGCTGTGGGTGACTATGGTATTGGCCGAGTATAGATACGACGATACTTCAACATGAATAGCTCGACAGACGAGCAAGAGGTTGAGGACGTCGTCAAGATCCTGATGTGTTCCGCTATATGGACTACGGCTGGATCGGGGGATATCAAGATATAGAAAAGTGTTTGTAGGTAAACCTACGTGGCGATAGATCAGGTGTCGAATTGGATCTGGGAGGTTGATGAACTTGCATATTTCGTTAGTCGAGAACGACAACGACAACATGACGCTGGAGAAGAAAATAGTTGAGGCTATAAGATTGAGATGTCGTGATAATATATAGTAATAGTTGATATTGGGGGGGGGGAGGGGTAACGGAAAGGGCGCGATAGGGTATAGTATAGAGGTATGGTATGTAGGTAGTGGTGTATGTAGGTAGATGTATTTTCAATATCTAAGGTAAAGTACATAAGGTATGCTTCATAAACTACATCATACCTTAGGTCAATATATATTAGGTATTTGGGTATTTAGGTAAGGTATGGTCTGGTATTATGTAGGTACCTAACGGTAGGTACCCTGCCGACCTGCTATAACTTGCAGGTGCATGTGTCTAGGTACATGTACCTAATCTACGGAAGTCGCCTTCAAAAGTTTTGTCCATAGGTCGGCCCTTATCAGCTTGGCAAGTCTTGGCAACAACTGTCGGCCGTAATACCAAATATACTCCTTTTTATACCTCATTTTCATCTGTTTATTTAACCTCAAATATATAAGATATAATATTAAAATTTATACCGAAATAGATTTAAGCTTTTATATTTACGATATATTTAAAAGCTATATTTTATAAAATATATTTGGTTGTATAGTCATTTATATAAGAAATGGTAAATTCCAATATACTTCGTGATTTTTAAGTGCCAAATGGATCAAGCTACTTAGCAACTATTCGACAGCTGTGGCCAAGGCTGACAGGTATTTGGTATGGACAAAACTTTTGAAGGCGACTTCCGTATTTCGGTAACATTAAAGGCGAAAGTAAAAAGTAGGTACGTAGGTACATTTGTAATATCAACTTTATAATGCTTTAAGTGGAAGACCATCTTTTTAATTTATCCACTTATAGAACTCTGCGTTTTTGATCAAGGAACTTTTTAATATTTTCGGGTCGTGATTCGTACCTTAGGTAATTCTATAATGTGGCTTAAGTGCAGGTATTATGGTAACCGTTTATTAGGTACCTCGGTACCTGCATGTACACCATGTAAATACCATGTCAACCATGTCAACCATATCAACATCATCTACAACTTCCCCAAGTTCGCGCTTCTTCACACATTTACACGCTCAAACATATTCTACTTCGTACCCAAGACAGCAACTTCACCAAAAATGGCGTCATCTTATTCAAATACAACCAAGCGGAAAGGGTTAGAGAAGTCCATATCTCCTCCACCCTTAAAGCGCAAAACCCAAAGTAACATATCAAGTTCGTGTGTGGCCTATGAACTTCCCCGACTGATTACATCCCTTGCTAATTGTAATGATACTACTAGAGAATGCCGTGGCTAGTTTCTTCACCCCGACGTCCCAGAAACCAAAGGACCGGACGACCTGGACCGAGCGCGCTCCCGACGGTAGTGATTCGCCGCCTACTTTACTTGTTGGTCGTTACGAGCCTGAGAAGATAGAAGAGTCCGATCGAAGAAAGAGAAGGAAGATAGTCGCGTTCGATATGGTACAGATCAACTCTCTTCCTTCCTAACTGCTCTCGCCCGCCCGGTTTCGACGGATAGCAATCGTGCTCAAGGTTAACGATTAAATCAGGATTCGACCCTGATCACCACGGTATCAGGCAAGAAATTTACAGACGATCCTAGCGATTGGAAATGGTGGGACCCTAGCGTGCCGTCCCGGTTACGAGAACTATACGCAGAAGAAGAGTATGTTACTACAGTTGTAATTATCTCGCTGGACGTATCACGCTTACACGTCCTAGCTGCCGAGTGGTGATTCTCAGCAACCAAGGCGGGCTAACGTTGCACCCGGATCCAAAGTCTAAAGCTCCGAAGGCTGGTAGTAAGGTCAAAGTCGACAAGTTTAAGCAGAAGTGTAGCGCAGTGCTTGCCCAACTCGATTTGCCTACTACTGTATACGCTGCTACCGGCTACGACAGCTTTCGCAAGCCACGCACTGGCATGTGGTCAGAAGTTTGTCGAGATTACGGCCTATGCGAGGACGAGATTGACCTTGGGAGCAGCATTTTTGTGGGCGACGCAGGTGGCCGGACGGCGCAGCTGAAATCTGGTGGAAAGGGCGTGGCCGCTGCGAAGGATTTTAGTTGTTCGGACCGTAACTTCGCGCATAACGTTGGCATTACCTACGTGACGCCTGAAGAGTTCTTCCTTGGTGAGCCACCACGGGAATTCGCGAGAGACTTTGACCTAGCCTCTTTCCCATATCCCGAGGCGGAGACGGAAGATAGCAATAGAGATGAGAGCAGTGAGGTTTTGTTCGAGAAGACTAATAAACAGGATATTGTACTGTTCTGTGGACCGCCTGGCGCTGGCAAAAGTACATTCTACTGGCGGAATTTGAAGCCGCTGGGCTATGAGCGTGTGAATCAGGATACGCTGAAGACCCGGGCCAAGTGCTTCAAGGCCGCCGGAGAGTTCCTGGGCGAAGGGAACTCAATAGTCATTGGTAAGTGACTTGTTTTTTTGTGCATATCATACCAATCCTCTCTCCAACTATTTTCTACTATAAACAACCTAAGAATATTGTATTCTAACGAAGAATGCCTAAAGACAACACAAACGCCGACGCGGACGGCAGAAAAGAATGGATCGAATTCGCGCGCAAAAATAGCATGCCTATTCGCTGCGTCTGGTTTAAAGTGCCTAAGGCGCTGTGCGAGCATAACGACGTCGTCCGGGCTCTCAACAAGCCGGTATGTACACCCGAAATAGAAAAATATCCATCTTCACTCCTCCCCCAGCTGTAAGAATATTATATGGTACATAGAGAAATTGTTACTAAATAAATCATAACCGCAGATGAACCCAGAAGCCCGCACGGCGCTTCCAGGCCTCGCATTCAATGGATACTTCTCTCGTTTCAAGGAACCGAAAGCCAAGGAAGGGTTTCAAGATGTAGTTGAGATTGATTTCAAGTTCCGCGGCACCAAAGAGGAATATGCTATTTGGGGGCGTTACTGGCGATGAGATTAAGATACCTTTGCCTGGATTTAAATATTTATAAAGGGGAGGTCTGGCCAACACGAATAACACGAGTATAGCGAAGCTCAGGGATGTTTTTGTAATAGGTACGTTTTATAATCGGCTTTCCACAGGCTCTAGAGTATATAGATGTGGAAATCTACATAATAATTCAAGCACGGTCTTCGATACCAACGACCCATTTTTTCATAGACAAGTGATCTACATTCCAACCTAGCTGCTGGGGCTATAATTTACATAATCATCCTAGGTATTGTATTTTGTCTCAGCAACATCGTACACATCATAGCAAAGGAAAGTAAGGCAACTTTATCCTCCACACAACCACGGGGTATCCCTATTTCTTGCCAACCGTCGTCTCGGCTATCATCTCATCCTCATTCTTCCATACCCCCCCGTACGATGAAACCCGAAGCGCCAAACTCATGCTAAAACCCTTTATGGCGACCGCACAAAAACGTAAATCTTTTGACGCACCTCCAATGCTGGGAATTAATTTCAGTTGAACCTCTCCGCCCCCGCATAAGCCATAGATATGTAACATAGAATATGGGATCCTTCATATAGGTGACGTATACCCGGTGTAGTTGATTCACCTGAACAGTTCGTCCTATTAGGAGGTCATCACTTGATGCTCTCCGTGTCGTTCATCATCGAATACCATCAAATTATAAATCATCAGCAGCACCGAGCGATACAGCCTGCCCGCCGTTCTGCTCTGTCGTCAATTCACAACATCGTATCTTTGTCATACTCGCACGGGTACAGTTGCATTTTATACCCGCCAAGACGGAGCGGGGCCTCAACCGAACAAAGCAGCGCCACCTGTCTCGACGGCCTCAATCTCTGCTGCTGTGAGGGGAACGCGGCGGAAGCGTTCGGGTAGCTGGTTGCGGTCGAAGTAAATACCCTTCGGAGGTTCAATGGGGCCGAGGTGGGCAGCCGGCTGGGCGCCAATGCCACCGGCAGCGCCAATGGTCTTACGTAGAGGACCGTGCTGCTGAGCGTGGTCGCGGTACGAGGAGAAAGATGTGTGAGAGTTGCCGCTGCTGCCGAAGCCAGACGGGAGGGCGCCGCTAGGGGAGGCCGGGTGCGGTTGCGGGGTGTGGTCTACATTTTCTACGAGAGGGAATTGGTATTAGCAAGAGAGTAAGCTATTAAGTTTGAGGAGAGGAGGATTAAACCTGAACTCTTCTTAATATTTCAAAGAACATACCAGGGATAGATCGCTTGCCGATGAAGCGAATCAAGGGAGTGCGCTCGGCGTGTGCTGCCGCTTGGCGTAGAACTCGTGTGGCATACATTGCGATTGGGAATGAGAATAATATAGAACGTTTGTTTTCTAGGGTGGGCGGACTTGAATGAGGGAAATATGATGACAAGAATGTCTTTGCCTCGGCTTTATGAATTAATCGCGACAGAGATGGTTTTTTTTTATCTTAGCGAAATTCGGACTTTCTGTTGGGGAAAAATGCGAAGGTTGGAGAAGCTGAGTAGATCAACTGGATGATAGATGATATTGAAGTACAATAGACTTTCAGATTGATGATGTTGGATGAACTTTCTTCTTTGTTGGTTTTTTTTACTTCCTCTTCTCTGCTTATATTATTATTAATAGGGAATGTAGGAATGGTTTTTAATCAGAGATTGAGCAAGAGCAAGAGCAAGAGGAGAGAATGGAATAAAGTATCAGTCAAATCTTGATATTTCCGAGTTCCAAGTCGAACTTAAATTGTGGGATGGGATAGTTAATAGGACTAGTCACTCCGATTAGGTGAGCCTAATGTGTTAGCGTGCTGTAGTGTGCTTAGGACGAACGGCTGTCTAACGCCGATTGTGGAAGGAACACTATGTAGATGGGGGAAACCGGGGAGGGACGTTAAAGCTAAAGTGCCTGGAAGATCAGTGATTTACTGCCTAATTTAGTACCTAGGTAAGGAACTAACTACTACCTAATAAGCCCAACAGGCCTAAGAAGGTTGGGTAAGCAAGCTGCAAGCTGCAAGTCGCTGTGATTGTTAGTATTATCATGCTGCTATCGTACCACTTCCGGAGCTATCGGTGGAGACCGATCTTCATATGCCAGGTAACTCTAGCGATTTTCGGACTTTTATTTTTTTAAATTTTTTTTTTATAGTTTTTGTGCCTAAATCTAATTGGTAATAGCTTTTTGAAGCGCCTTTCTTTCTTTATTCTGATTCCTAATCTCGGGGCGAGATCTTTCCATGCATTAGGTATTAAGGTACCTAACTGCATATCCCACTCGTTCGTGACGCCAAGTCCTCAATGCCAATATCGTAAGTCCATTTACCTTTATTTATTTTTCTCGTCTTTCATAATATCTGCTTTGTAGGATTACCTTACGTGTAGTAAAAGTCGTACAAACAACGTCACTTACACAATTTACAATCCTACAAATCTGGGATTATATCATTACAAGCCATCATCATCGCCGCCGCAATCTATCTAGGATGGCACAGATCTCTTAGGGTTCGTAACGCAGACCCCTCCATATACGTATATTATCACCAAATATAGGTAGATTCTAAAAGTTTGTGACGTAATGGATAATTACTCAGAATACAAACTTATCGCGTTCGTCGATTTAATGTTCATAGTTGATATTTCACGAAAGCGAAGACCATCATTCATAGAAATCAACCATATGAAGTTAAGCCTCTAGGTATAACTTATGTATAACAGGCTGACAGAATATACACACGCGTTTCGACGTGCATGAAAATGCGACATCCTAACCAACCTTACATGAGCTGCACGACTAGGAACCACAAGACCCTCGTGGGTAACTCCGGGACCGCGGGGATGTCTGTCCACACTAGAGACGTATGCATTGGGGGTTCTGGGGTTTGATGCTTGAACCAATGTCATTCGTACCTCCTATTCGTCCGTCAGAGCATCGGAGATAACGTCTAAACTTCGAAATGGTCCCATTGAAAACATCCAGGCTTTACCATGTGTCATATGATCTATGTAATATCTCCCTTTCCCACTCAAACTCCCACTCGGACTGGACGCTGAGCGCTGGGGGAAGAGATATTGCATGTCATGTCATACCATGCCATGCCGTGCCATACCATGCATTCTTAAATATATTCTTATAAGATATTCATATAGGATTTCATACCTTGAATTCCCCGATGCTCCCTTAAGGATTGACGTGACCGAGAGCTAAGCTGACGAAATACTTAGCTGCGATTAAACCATGAACAAGTCCTATCCCATAATCCCAGCTGTCAATAAGCTATGTAACATAGGTAGATTTGGTCTTGCAAGCAAGTATTAGATCATTAGATAGGATCATACCGTAGAGACGAGCCTGGAACGAGCCTTTATAAAACTATTGGAAAACATATTATTGAAGTCCCAAGTTCAGATTATGACTTGCTGCCGCCCGAAAATTCATTCAGGGTTTGGCGCATCGCAGACTCCGGCTGGTTTGCATAGACGCGGCCACCAACCCCGTTGACGATGTGAGTAATCTCGCTACCAGACACTCCATTTAACCACACAATAGTCATATGATGCAATTTGACACCCTCGGTATCCGGAACTTCAATAGCGTTCTCCAACTTCGTAGGAGAGTCCCGAAAATACGAGTAGATGCCCAACCCCCAAGCTTCGTGGTTCGTCACACCGTCGGCGACCTTATACGAGGCGAACCCGTTGGCCTTCCCGTCTTTGCTCATCCATGACTCCTGGTTAGGGGGGTCATAAGGGATTTCAGACTGGTAAAAGTAGAGTCGGCCATTATTTCCGTTCCAGACTGTCTGAAATTCCTTGTGATGCTCGTTAAATAAACCATATATCGTTACGTTGTCGCCGTTAATCACCACACCGTTGTTCGTAGGGTTAACGTTCCAGGCCGCACCGTCACCGTGATCCGCCCGCCACAGCCAAAGCTGGTCACCGACTACATTGCAGCTATTTATGGTGATTCCAACCTCGTTTTTGGTGTGACCGACCGTTCGTATTGTCAAGTCATAGAGAAACGTCGGGTTTGGCCCGTGATCGGCTGAGCTATTCGACGGTCCGACTTCGACGAGAGTTGGTGAACTAATCTCGCCCGCATCAATTATAAGACCCGCGAGCGTCACACCGTCCACATCGGCAACGGCTAGAGCTGGTTGACCGCATGTTGGAATAAGCGAGGGTAAACCCAGCCCAAGGACAATGGTGTTCGCTCGGGAAACTCGCAAGGCGTGGTCAAGTTTGTAGATGCCCGGTGCGAAGATGACGTGTTTCCCAGAATCTAATGCCGAGTTGATACTTGCCGCACTGGACGTGGAGGGTTGAGCAATGTAGAATTGGTCAATAGGGATAGACACGCCAGCCGTTGAAGACCCATCTGTCCAGCTAGGCCCTTTCGTGTTGGTCTGTAATGCAGGCACAAAAACTTCATATTGACCCTGAACTGTGATATAAAGGAAAGGCTTCTCTCTCATGATAGGAGTCCGATCCACGGTAGTATATGGGGAAGTTGGGAAGTTATCTTGGCTAGGTGCACTGGAGTCGCCGACGAATACCATATTCCACACGGCGTTAGCCCAGCTACCGTATTTATTATTGCGTGATAGCCATTGCTGTTGCGAGCCGGGAAGCACCTGGTAGTCGACTACTGAATCGGCCATAAACCCTCCGGAAGCCCAACCTCCTGCTCCCGTGCTCGGGTCGACTTGGAATAGCCAGAGACCGTTCGAGCTTCGCACATGCATGCGTCGTAACGGCGCAGCTTGTGACACTGCAATCGTCGTAGTGTTATTAGTGGCCGCCGAGGCGTTAATAGAAAAATTCTCGAATGCTCGCCAAAAGTTACACGTAGCGTTACGGTTCGGCATCCAGTAGGCCGGCACGTTAGCACCGCCTTCAATCAACACATCATCTGGATTCCTACCAAGCCCAGCTACCTGCGTATAGAAACCTATATCAAATAGTATGTTGTAGACCCCTGGCTTAAAAAGAAGAGCATACCTCTCCGTACCAAATTCATTGGCTTCCATCTGCTTGAAGATGTCTGTTACTTTATCCTGGATACTAGCTGCAGGCATCTTCGGATCGAATACGTATACGTTGGGACCGAATATAGTTGCGTTTGCAGTGGTAATAGAGCTGTTATCAGTGATAATAGGAACTACCCTCTTAGAAACTGAACAAGAGCCGAGATCATTCCAATAACCTTCTGTTATTAATTTGAGGTTGTCTGTAGTGAACTCTTTGATGCCCCTCTCTTCTGTACTCGTGCGAGTAGTCGTCGCCGATGTATTCCCCGTCTGACTTATTGGAGTATCCGGGAGCTCATGGTGATATAACTCTCTCTTCACAAGGCATCCCTCGACTGCCCATCTCGGTACGACTTCCTCGTAGATGACGTTCTTCTCTTTACGCATCATCTCTACTAGCTCTTCGCAAGTCCTATTGTGTATTTGGCTATCACTAAATAAGGTACCCGCAAGCGCATTGATGCTGCTCGTTACTGCATAATCAGAGCATCGCCAAAGCAAGTAGCTCAGGGCTTCCTCGATGCTCGGCACAGTAAAGAGCCGGGCGTCAAAGTATACGGTACCAAGCAGGAGCTCGGCCCCACCTTGAAGTTGATCTCCGAGATCTGGGGTTAACGCAGCTGCAAGGTGCGCATTAAATCGCACGCTACAATAACCAGCGGCCAGAGATGCGAGCTTCTGCACCGGCTGGGTAAAGAGCTTATCACCTCTCGGAATCACCAGCGTGATTTCGTCAGACTGTGTGTAAGCGACAGTAGCATCGGGGAAGAATTTTAGTAGAAAGTCAGAGCAAGTAGCAATCATGGCATCGTGGATGCGCTGGTCAAAGGGTCGCCGAAAGTATGTCTGGGCCGTGAGGTGCGAGAAGCAGTGGCCATCTAGGCGCAGAACAATCGGAGACGAGATAGGTAGCGTCAAGTCGAATGCGGTTTCATATTGTTTCATTCGATTTGCGAGAGACATTTTTACAGAAATATGTATTATAAGAGAATATAACTAAGGTTGTCGTGATTTGTTGGAAGAGTAGGAGAGTATACCTAATATAGGTACCTAAGTACATAACCTAGGGCAACAGGTACATTAGGTACATGTATATAAAAAGCTAAAGTGGGCAGCGGTGATGTCAGTTCTATCGGCTCGGGCCGTTTTAGCTCTACCCGATGGACCCACCAAAGTCCGGATTAGCCGTCCGTGCACATCGGACTCAGGTCTCTTTCTCAAATTATGGCCTCATCGTAACAGGAGGTATCTATTATTCCTTCGTAGGAACCAGCCCATACGAAACATTCTATTACTAAAGTACCCTTTGAACTTTTTCTCCGTCGCCCATTGAGAATCCTCAGGTAAGTTACGCAAAAATAGAGTCGGCAAACAGACAAGCCACGGCAGCAATACTCCCGGGAGGCTTGGGAATGGCATAGCGATAGCCTTCCTTCTCTGACTTCCATATCGTAAATGCATCAAGTATCAATACAAGGCCAAGTATAGACACTAGTACGTATGTTGTAACCGAGTGCTAAACCACACGCCGTGCGTCATAATGAAGCTATAGAAATATCGACCTTCTCAATGGTTTCACAACAAGCAAGAGATGCTGTATATGTAGTCGTGCTTCCCGGGTGTCCTGCACAAAGTCCTCAGACATATATAATATGTCTATTTTCACTACCATGTTCATAGGAAAAGTTATTTGCACTTGTTATAAATATTTCTGGATTTCCAGAACATACAAATAGATTGAAGGGCGACTCATATGTTCCCTTTCGATGTCAAATTCAATAGATTTGGTGCTCTGTGAGAATGAATATTTCAATGCTGCTCCAACTGCTTGTATATCAGCAACAGTCATGGAGTCGTTGTTAAGCGAAGGGGAATTGATTGGATTTATACGAGGAAATACTAGGTTCTCATATGTCCAAGGAGGATAAGACATGTTACTTATTAGTACAGATGCCTCTACAATTTATGCCTTTTTGAGACGGCGTGGATTCAGGAGCCGATGATTCAACCCATTTAATCTCTTGAACTTGTACTGTCTTCTTCATCCCTCGTGTCTCGACCGAAAAGAGACTTGGTAAATATAGGCAAGAGGGTGCGTAATAAAACAATGGCTTTAGAAGTGAGCAAAGTAAGATGGCAATTTTTCAAAGGGCGCTAGAGGGTTTTTATCCCTAATTCGTTAGCGAAAGATACAAGAAAGCTGTTCGAAGTGGAAAACTCTTTTGCGCGTAGGGCAACGAATGGTGCTAAGCTGCGTAATCCGAAATCGCACAGTCCGAGGTAAAGGGGCAATCCAACAAAGCATGCGGATGGTATTAGAGTCCAGAAGCAATGACGCAAGTCATTTTTAGCCGCAGTCCCAAGTCCGTATAAGCTAGTAGATATTTATAATGATATGATGAGAGTGGTAAGGAAGCTAATGACCAGAGCAAAGAAAATGCCGCGTGAAATAGGAAACAGGGTCCGAGGCTAGTACCAGGATATTCTTGTGCCAGGCCGAGCTTCAATTAAGTCACTTTCCCTGGAAGTGATTTCTTGGTTATCATCGTGGATTTGATAAGCTGGAAATAAAGGCATATCAGGACGATGGACTGGGGTGGCAGAATATGACCCCTGAGATGCCGCTGAGATCATAGTGATATTTGTTGAACTATATCCCCGAAGCCTGTTAAGGAAACTAGTAGATTTTGAAAGTAGAGCAGCTATCTCCGCGAGGGTTCGTGCCTCTCTGGGTGCGAACCCGTCTTTTGGAGCAACCCATGAGAAAAGTGGCAATGTAAGGACGATCGCTAAGCCAAATAAGCCAACTATCATCTAGCATATTGAGGTTTGAACTTTGACTTGGCCAAGAATCTGAGTAAGCGATCCCGTACTTGTTCATGTCACAGTAGTTCGAAAATCATAATGAGCTATGAGTGGTCCATACCGAGTGTGGTATAACCGCATAACCTTCTCTAAAACCGATGGTTGTAGTAGGTCTTAGACTGAAAGTATAGCATCATGGTAAAGGTTCATTACCAACCTGGAAGGAGTAATAGTAACATAGTCAGCTGCGGCAGGTATATAGGTGGAAAGCGCATTCATGTTAGAGGTGACCCTTTCTGTGGTGATCCTCCCTCCTGAGCCGATTTGCTGCGTGCTCCATTGATCTCGCTCTCGTGTGCCAACTCTGGAAGAATTTCCGCTCGAGTAAGCCCTCCACAAAAATCCAAATAGTTCACCACTAACCGATCTGTTTTTATCATTTTCTAGAGGTTGGTTTGAGAGGGCACCGGCCTTGTAGGTGGCAATAAACTGACTGATAGTGTCACGAGGTGGAACCAAACAGCATGGAAACAACTTCGTTGTTCCGCAAGGAACTCTAACTATCTACGAGGTTCTAGGTCTATACATACTAAACCTGTTTTTTGTTCTAGATGTCTCGTATAGAATCCTGACAGAGAGGCCATGTCATCATAACACAAGTGGCTTCACATTGAAACTAGATGTATAATCGGCATGTTGCCATTCGGACGATACAATCACTGCCAAGAAGAGAGGTACAGAAGAGTTATTTTCTGTCGTGAGGTCTTCCCAATAATATATTAAGACTTTATCTTCATAAACTTTAGTACCTATATAAATTCCTCCTTTGATAGTTGTATTAACAATTATGGATGTGACTTTATAGCTTATTTGATAATCCAATAGCGACGGTGTCATTTTTATGTCAGGTTCCTCACAATCGGAAGAAGTCGTAACCCCCTCAACGACTACCGATAATCCCGTCTCATTCTCTATAGTTGCTAGAGCCTTCTCAGCATCGAAAATTTGGAGTGCTAAGCCGGGAATTGTAAAATTCGGACTGAGACCTATGGACCAGGACGCTCTTTCTAAGCCGTAGAGACCATAGAGGAAATCCATTGGTATCTCTGGGATATGGCCAGAAAACTGTTCGAGCAAATCCACCGATATGTCCAAGAGCAAGCCAAAGGCATGTATCGAAGAGCCTGGTATTTAACACTGGCCCAAATGCAAGGATTATAGTGAGAACTAAAAAATAACTAGATGGATCTAAACTACGATTTATTCCTCATAAATATGCACTTATGGTCGGACTGAAAAACCATAAGTAAAACAAATCTTGGTTAGCAGTTTTTAACTATCATATAAATAATATAGTTAAGACTTACTAGTTGAAATATAAAGTAATTGAATTTTATTTAAATAATTAAAATAACTATTGTTTAATGGGGCTACTTCAAAGGAAAAGAAGTTGGATACAATAGACCCTTCGTAAACTCAGGGCATTCGGAAGATGGGGCCGCCTCTGATCACCGTATGGATCAACTTGCAATCTCAACACCACGAGTTATGAAAGTGCCGAGTCTATCAGGCCATGAACACTTGGCGGGGCCTACCGAACCCTGATACAGCATCGTCGCCATTAACATTCGAGCCTTTCGCCTCCGAACTTGTTACACGGCATATATGTAATGCAAAGGCGGGCAGCGGAGTTATTTGCTTACACCTCCTTTTGAGCCAGTGCATGAGAGCCTCAATAGAAAGCAAGAGGCCTGATAAAGTCAGAAGCCCAAAGCAGGGTTTAAGTCATTGCCGACATTCCTAATTAATGGAAAGTCTAGACGGGAAGACACTAAACCTGGTCAGTTCCCGTTAGATTAACGTTGCTGTTTGCTAAACTACCTAAGTTCGATACCATGTCGTCTTGTTTTAGTCTCGCATGACAATATGAAGGGTTTCAGGACTAGTACTTATCAGATCGTGAGCCAGGTACTGAACGAGTGGATTACTGTGCTTCAATTTCTATCTGTGTCCGTGCAATTTCTTCATGCGGTTATGCATAGATCTGGCTAGACCCTCTAGTTCTGAACGGCAATTCCCGGTATATAAGGGTAAAAGCAATCTGGTAACGATATGTATGCAGAGACACATCGCAGCATGCAAATGTGCGTGTCAATTTTCGAACTGCTTCATATAGACGGGTGGATAGACTAGCATGAAGGGTCAACTACTCTTGGTCTAGTGTGTGGTAATATGATTATCTATTCCAGCGGGACGTTATGCCAGGGATACTCTCTACAAGCCGACTAGCTAGGGTGGCGACGACATCATCTATCTTGAATGGATTTAACTTAAACATTACCCCAAAGTTTTCCTTATTTTGTCCTCAATTTCCGCGTCCAGTAGTTTGCCGGGAGTCCAATGCATCTCACGAACTTTTTCGGAGCGGTCTAGACCACCAATGTGGCTGCAGATGCACAGGATCTAACGACCCGAACGACAGGGGCTAGACGCCGCCGGATGCAGCCATCGTCAGCCAAGCTAGCCCATCTAAAGGTACTTGGAGACTGAGATCTCCCTCGGCTTACTGCACGTTCTAGACTCTCTAGATTCTCAAGACCCGGTCCAACGTCATCTCGGCACTGGCTCACATTACTTGGTAAATCATGAACCATTCGCACGGTAACTCGTCTGGGCTTAGCTAAACTACACTTAAGTCACACTGATCTAATACAAACTTCAAAGGGAAAAACTAACCGACTTTTGCTGTGCCGTTTTGTGCGGCTGAGAAGAATTGGAGTGTAGTCTGTTCAGCTAGGGCGTAGGCTAAGGCTGAATACTCGAATACGATAAGCATAGCAACTATAGCAGTGAAAAAGAAATGCATAAAGGAAAATGTATGACCATTCCTTACATGTGTGATGTTGTAGAAGAGAGTTTGTAATACCTACTATAATCTGGTTTCCTGCTGGTTTCATGGATGCTCCACCACCTATCCCGCCACGCCCATCCGGGTACGAGCTCCGGGGTCCGGTGAACCCTTCTTTGCCTCCCCGGCCGAGCCCGTCTGGACAGCAACAATTCCGACAGGTTCCTGACGTTCCACCGCCACCACCACGACCGCATACAATACGTCAGCCAATGACATGGGGACCATTATCCAATCTCGACGGCACGGCGACACCACTAATGATGGCCCTACTGGCTGCCTTCTTCGCCCGTCTCGACTCTAGAGGTACAGGTACTATCACACCCGAGACTCTGTCGGCCTTCTTGGATGTGCACGGATTTTTAGGGGGGGACAACGTCTGTAGGTGTCCTTATCCTTCCCCTGCTTAGTACATACCTGCCATAAGCTAGAGGCTTGTCATATTTGATAAACATTAATAAAAGAAAATCAGGGAAATCAAACCTAGCCCCGAATGTCATGTTCCAACCAGAAGACCTGGCAGACTTCGAACTGAAGGCTGCATGCGAAGCATGGTCCTTTGAGCACCGCGTCGCTGTGCGCAACCCTGGACGCCCACAGCTTCCATACGGTGGAATGCCAATGCTTACACTGCAGGGTTTCACAGATATGATGGCCGTCGAGCACGCGTCTGACCCGGAGCTCGCGTGGCGCGGCATCAACGCAGCATTACGCTACTATGACGTCTGGAGAGAACTTGGTCCTCTGCCCCGCGAGTGTCTACTTCCCGGAACGGGCCCTCCGATAGAAGTCCAGCGCCGTATCGAGCAAGCCGGGGCGCGCGCCCGGAGGACAGCGGCCGAGAGGATCGAGGCGAACCGAGTCAAGCACGCACTACAGGCGCAGGGCCGTAGGAATGCTGAGGAGTTAGCTGGTGATTATTACTACGTTAGGAGGGACTACTACTGAGCCGAGCCGGGGGGAGGGGTCGTCTGCCTATCGGATAAGCGATACGACGGTAATGCGTGGGAAATATACATGCGGAGAGACAGGCTATAGCGGACCGTGTCGCCTCGTCTAGCTAGGATGGTGTTGCGTAATGCTTGCGTGGGGGGTTACCTACCTGCGATTAGACACTTGGTTGATACGATCGCCATAGGGGTCGCGGATTATACGGAATATCAACAAAGGTAGTTAATATTCGGGGGTATCCCGGGAAAGTTAGTGGTGTGCTGATAGGGCGACTACTTATCGACTATAATACGATATGAACAGTTGAAGTCGTGTCTTTTCGACTGTGCTTGATGCCTGTGGCGAGGAGTCTGGTCCTATTCATGGTGCCCTACATCGGTAAACTATAGAGCAAAGAAAGCACCTAGACGTAGAATATCGTTCGCCGCACCGTCTTTTCCCGGAAGATCCGCGCTGGTGTACATTCAAGTTAAGTTTTTAGGTGTTTCGAGTGTCTTAAACAATCGAAACACCCTCCCAAGCCGGGGAGATAGGCGGGTTTCATGACCTTATCTCGCGTCTGCCAGCTCCCGACAATATCCTCTCGGTTGTTGAAGAGCCAATAGATGCTATGAACCATACCACATTTGAGAAAATAGCATTCGCCTCACTCGGTGAAGAGGTGTGTAGCAGAGATCTAAGCGAGGACGCGCTAACCGAACGCGACGGCAGCAAGTCATAGGAAATTTAAGACAGCCATGGCATGGCGAGGGTGCTAGGTCCGGCAAGCAGGGACAGCTTAACCTATTGTAGAAGAGGCTTTTTGCATAAACAACTATATGTTAGCTGCCTGGGGTAGAGGACTATCTTCATCTAGTGAGGTTGTGGTTATGGTTGCGATTGCGGCTGGTGGTGGAGAGAGAAATAACTCGGTGTCATCCTAGCCATACCTTAGGTGAGACACCGAATGAGAAGATAAATTCAAAGACCAAGGAAATGTGTCTTGGCGTGAATTGTGTGGCTCGTATCGCTTAGAAATGGGCGACCAATTCGACCTGTCAGGATCTAAGATCAAGACTTGGCACATCACATGTTTGCAACTAGCCTAAATCATAGAGAGAGAACTACTCTGGGCTGTCTGATGATCACTACGATGTTTCTAAGTGAAAGGAAAAGGAGGGTCTGATGGGCTTAATGCGATGTGAGAGTATGTCGTTAAGTTTCAGAAGGTATTCGGGTGCATACATACATACATACATATATACATGGGTAGGTAGAGGCATCGTAATAATTTGCCTTTCGTCATTATCTTCAAACTAGAGGGCACTGGAGGGGCTGTAAGAAGGTGGCTTGCATCTGTGAGATGAGATATGCCGACTAGGTAGATCGGATTGGCCCCCCTTTTGCATCAGTCTAGCATTCCGTCATTATTAATCCCAGCTTATCAAAATATATGGAACCCATAAACCCTGAGGTTTTTAACTACATACTATAGTTAAGAGGTAATATAGAAAAGAACGCGGAAGAGACCCTATTGGGCGATAAGCTGTTTTGACACTAAGTAAGAGGCGACTTCATACGTAACTCTAAACGACGACCAAGATGATAAAAATAGGTGGAGAATAAAAGAATTTAGAGCATAACTATCCTAGACACTAGACACTAGACACTACCTACCTACCTACATACATAGATGGTAGACAGCGAGGATTGTGGCTGTGACTAGTTTGAAGGTGTGGCAACATAGGGCAGAGTAGAGACTAGGGGGAGGGTAAATACATAGGCCAATCAACGTAAAGATGTTCTTATTCATACATACATACATCTAATCCGTACCTAGTGTATACTAACTTAAGAGGTGGTCAGTAGAGGATGAAACTCTCTTCTACGTAGGTACATATATTAGACAAGTACATACAGCTTAATTAAAGTAAGGACCTCAACAGGATCGTAAATCAATACCTTAGGTAGCATTGGTACACCTCAGTATAATAAATATTTAATTTTTTTCGTATCGTAACGAACGATTAGTAGTATGACAGCGGTGACGATTATGGAGCTCTGACCACGCAATGCTCCAATTACTCACTCGGCCGAAAGACACTTGTCTTTTGGCGCCGAACTGAGCGCAAACTAGGGTCTGTTGAGCTTACAAACTATTATGTTAATTTTAACCACTTTTTGACCATTTGATTAATAGGCGTAGGTAGCATGGAGTGTACTCCGACAAGCGAGCATTACTCGAGAGGACTAGGTATCAAATCTGGATTTGAAACGACGATCCCTTCCCTTACCTGGCCAAGAAGGTTAACTGAAGCTAGTGTAGTATACCGAGTGCCTCATTCTTGGTCAGGCTCGAATAAGTTGGCGCACGGAGCAGGATGTGCCTAATTTTTGGTGGAAAGTCGCAAGATATTGCCTCTGGAACTAAAAGTCTATGCGGTATGTTCCACGAACTTCACTAGATGTGACGAGAGAGTCTGCGCGGCTCATTTCTATGCCCGATTTGTCCTGAGTTGAGGCGGAAGGCTGGCTGCGTTAGAGCGGCGCAGGATTATTCTCCGTACCACCACCCTCGTCCTAAAAATCGATAAACGTTGAAGGGCATTTGTGCTACGTTCTACTGGTTCTATTGCTACCGCATATTTGCAGCTTAAACTGAGACTTATCTGCGGCTGTCAGATCTTCAACGCGCGGTCTGACGATGATCAGGCTACTAAGACGCAGATCTATATACAATTCCCAACATAATAATGCAGCTGTTTGATGGATTCCTTCTGCAATAACCCTAGACAGCTAAGCTATCTTTGGACTTGTTACCTTGGGTTGGCATACATACAACAGCAGGTGATAGAAAGTGATAGATCATTTTTTTTTCGTCGGCAAGACCCTGGGAGGGGTCGAGCGTCGGGAACGAGGTGCAATACTATACATGGCCAACAACCGCATCAGTTGCAAGGACTTGATGCAAGTAATATCAGGATTTAGGCCATCGACAATACCGTACCGTACACCGCCGAGACGGGATACATATTATAGAGAGGGATATAATAAAGAAATTAATGTTTACACTGTGCCGCACAAGGCTGCTTGCCTACTTGGTATTGCTCGGGAAATAAGCATCTTCCTAATTAAGACTATATGTAAGTAGGTTTATAAATACATTCGACTATATGTTTGAATAGGACCTCGGGACTCATAGGAACTCGACGAGTCGTATCTGGGAAGAACTCGGGTTTATCCTAGTCGAATAGAAGAGGACTCTTCGAGTTATCCGGGACGAGCGGGATGAGTTGATGCTGTACGGGATCCATTACCCCAGGTTTCTGCAAGGCACTCTCACCAGTCACCAATCCATCTGCTGGACTGAGCCCCCCATGCTAAGAAAATGTTCCTGTTATGGGGTACTTCCCTTTCTTAATATATTCCTATGTGGCTTACCTGGCGTTAGTTGACTCTTATGCCTCATTTTCGGTATGCCTGGGTACTATTTAGAGGTGTAAAGTCCTCCATGATACAATATTATCTTACTGTAGATAAATCTATCTTACACCTATGTTTTTTTCATATCTCTCTTCCCGTTTCTTTTCTTGAACGCCAAAATGTCCATCACAACAGTCGTAATTGTCGCTTGTGGCGGAAAATAATGTGCTCAGGAGTTAACACATACCTACTACGTCGTAGCGTCATTATAATTATTAGATCCCTGAACCTTGTCCCGTCTTTATTACCATATGAGGTATGTTTTGTGGAAAATGCCAATGAAGATCGCTCTATATCCACCAGAACAGGTAGATATTGGTAATTGGATATCAAAGAACAGATTCGAAGCAATGCTCTTTAGACTCACTTACCGAGTCACTCACTCTTGTTACTGCATTGCAATCGCCGATTCTTGAGGTTGAGTAGCAGTTGTCGATCCAACGTGGATCCATAGATGCGCGCGTAAATCGAAGATTTGAAGTAGACTCTTCTCTCAGAGGAAGAACATCCTGCTGCGGTACGACAATATGTAGCAGGTCGCAGGTTGCAGGTCGCAGGTTACAGGCCTCAGGGTTGTAGGTCCGAAGTGAGGGGTATCATTCACGACCACATTAGGTGGCGGGCGGCGCGGGGATGGTTAACAACTAATAACAAAAATCCCATTGTCTTTATGCCTATTACTACCCATAGACTACAGTAACTGGGGCCCTGACGGTAGGAGTCGCACAAACCCTGCATATATTTTCTCCAATGCGTGGCTTTCGAAAGAGCAGAGAGTCTGGGGAAAAGGGTGTGTAGGTGTGGGTGTGGGTGTGGGGAAATAGGGACTTTGAAGAATGGCCTTTTTCGTAACTCGTCGATCTTGCGATGGCTGGCTTACGGATAGAGCACGTGTAGTATCGGACCTCCTAGTATCCCTACCACGAATAATATAGCGTCGTGGTAATACAGTGGCTTTCTGCGTGCCGCCTTTATGGTCCAGACTGCAATCGATGCAGCCCATCTTGGAGAATATGTTACAGCGTGATGATCGTTGTCAGGCTTACCGGCTGTATGAAATCAGCTTCTCGGAGAACGGATACGTGTTTTACTTGTAAAATAATGGCGTCGACTTTCTCAGCTTTTGGAGAACCGTTGCCCCTTGAAATGCTTGGTTTACACAACATTATGTGCTTACTGCTCTAGCTAATCCAAAAATGACCATGGGATTGTGGCATGGTATTGATGGTTGATGCTAATTTACATGGTTTAGAAATCGGGAATACGAGGAAATTCGCTAAACACCTAGGTTAACCTGGTGTAATAACGGCTTTCTTCCAGCCCTAGCCGTTTCTATTTATTTTGCTGAGGGGTTTCTGATCCCGATCAAGAGACGTCACCGCGCCGCATTCATCAAATCGTGCATTTCCCCAACCAATCTATATCGTTCGATGGTAGACGAAAGAAATAAATCCTTCTAGGGGGCGGGCGATACCCCTCATCGTAGTCACGGACCTTTCTATCCATTGGCAAATAGTAAGAAGAACATAAAGTAGGTACGGAACGACAACACTTAAGATGATGGCATTATTACTACCTCTATGTATCCATTCTTTAAAGATTATTAGTTTCATCTAGGAGTATTAATAATCACCGCTACGTTATTAAGTCACGTATTTAGTGCTGTCGATCAGGTTGACGATATTTTAAACTGTGGGAACTGTCGATCAATAATAGTTGTAAAGCAGTAACGTTAAAGTGCCAGGTAAAATTTAATAAAGTGCCAACCCATCCACTTTCCACGTGACATAAGCCATACAAAGCCACAACGCCATAATGAAATAATGAAATAAAAAAATATTTATTAGATTTTAGTTATATATATAAATAACTTTACGAATAAATATAAAAAGATTATATAAAAATATTTATTAATTAAAGTAAAAGATTACGTAATTTATTATTAAGTTTAAATAAAATTAAAATGAAAATTTAATATGTTATTTAATATTTTACATAAAATATAAAAATAAATATAAATTTACGAAATAAATTATAAAAATTTTATTTATTTTTTTATTAAATTTATAAATTTTAAATATTATATATATAAAGTTATTTAAAAATATTATTATTATATTAAAAATATATTAAAAAATAAAAAGATTATTTTTAGCCGCATTGGGATCAATTTTAGTCGTAGTCACGTGCAACCTGAATTTTAATTTTTATTATTTTTTAATTTAAATAATGGTATATTTTGTAAAATATTTGGATGGAATTTCATAAAGTTATTAATAATAATATATAAAAAGTGGTAAAAAATTACCCTGTACTGGTCAAGTGAACGGGCCATTTTCATTATGGCGTTGTGGCTTTGGTGGCTTATGTCACGTGGAAAGTGGATGGGTTGGCACTTTATTAAATTTTACCTGGCACTTTAACGTTACTGGTTGTAAAGCACGTATGAGTCGAGCTGGGTAGATCCGGATCAGCAAAGCTTTGTATATTTTACACGTGTAAGACCATCCCGCCAACGTTGCTCTATACATACATGTGAATGAGGCATATTATCCGGTGGTGTACTGTTTATCAAAGAACGGTAATGAGAAGCCAACACTATTACATAGGTAGGTAGTTACCATGATTTCCACCGACTGAATCCTTTTCCGTCTGATAAATTACGCCTAGAGCGTAAACTACATGACGAACTATCCGTTATGTTTCTAAAAAGAAGTTCATAGTAACACCGCAACTCTCCATGTTAATACTAACCGGGAAATCATGCCTTTGCTGTACGACGTGATGTGTCTTTTCTGATTCAGTCACACTAGAACCTGGTCAGGCTGGAAACTGATACTCGAACCATCAAGCTCAGCGTGTGGCTCGATGGATGATGACTTTGCACTCCGGAAATACCAAGAAGGGACATTCCAATATCCTCGAATAAACATTGCTGCATCCTGCGGCTTACACTGAGCTACTCTTATATACATGGTAATTAGAAGCATCTGGCTTAAGAATAGAAAATACCCTAGGTTTGACCACTTAATATATTCTATGATATGGATATGAAAGGTAAAAAAGGTAAAAATCTCGAGGTATTGTACCCGGCAATACAAATCCGTGACATCTAGCGGGCCGTGACCAAATCCTATCAAGACGTTGAAGTCGTCCGGCTGAGTACAGCCACACGTGCCTGGCGATGTATCATATGCTACCTCCTACAAGTAGGTATTGAATTCTGCAGTGTCGTCGATTCGCGAGGAGTAATGAATACTCCCCTGGGTTAACTTCAATGTTGCGTATGTTCAACGTAACGGCGTTTGTCCATCGACCCACTAGACGGCCGAAAACAGCTTGAATGTCTTTCTAAGAAGAGGCCAATCATAATCCTAGTAACGCACGGAGACTGTGCGATAAGCTACCATATCCTTGACCCATCATCCATGACCCATGCTGGCGTCGATCCCACCCCTTTATTAATCCATGAATAAACCTATCTTCATACTGTGCTGCATACAGATACATAGCCGCAACCCTCCAAAGACACGGTAACTATCCCGTCTACAAGGACTTATATAACTTACAGGGACTGCAAGGTAAGACTACAAACAATATTATATTGGTAGCGTAGTTAAAAGGTAATATAAGAAAACAATTACCAGGTATCCTCCTTCGGGTCTATCAAACAACTGGTGGACTTGAAGAAAAAAAAGCAAAAAGGTAAAGATGCGAATTGGGGATGTTTACCGACGGGTACCTGGCGATCGTTTCGCTTTGAAGCAGGAAATTGACATCACGGTTTGCCTGCGGTTCTGTGTCACGGCGGCAAACAAAGGAGACGCATTCCACAAAATTAAAAATATAATGTTAATACTCAATTAGGTAGAAGAAGAAGAAGAAGAAGAAGAAGAAAGGTATGATTAAAAAAAAGAACGACATCGGAACTTCCATACTACCATGATACATTGGACAAAGCTTAGGTACAACCAAATCATGAAGAATTAACCTTCGTGTAAATCAAACATGATGAAAAGGTTATATGATTTGGTATTCAGAGTTCTTAAAATTCCTATGCTGATACTATGATGATACTGCCGATATAGGCAACTTAGGTACGTCTTTTTTTTTTGTTAAACGGATCCTAATGTGAGTTGCAGCTCATCAGATAATTGAGATAATTGAGATAATTGACGGATCAATTGATGGATAGATTTTATTCCATGTTGTTGCTCATTGTCCATTGCTAATCGCCTACTGGCTGCTGGTTAGTGCAAGGAGGGGCTATGTACAAAGTATCTACTTTTGTACCCAAGTAAAACGTAACATAGAGGGGCAACCTTTGCTCCTCCTTGTCGAACTGTGTTGGTCAGTGCCCGACTAAGGCAAGCTTAGTGCGAGTCGCGTACCGTGCATATCCCAGCATAGCGTAGCGTCATAAATTAGGTATCCACTTATACTTAATACATACCTATACCTAGCATGGTGTGCAGCACAGACATTACAGAGACATCCGATTATCAATGTTAGCTCCGGCCAAGTAGCTACGTATTAGTGGGAACCTTCCCCTCGTCATTGGTTTGTTTCGTGTCTTTTGGGCTGGGCTTTTGGCTGGGCGGTGGTGGCTGCTGCAACAATCTCTCCACTTGCGCCAGAGAGTCAGACCAAACTTTCTCAGGCCTTTTTTTTTTTTTGCCCACTTCTGCATCTGTCGTCCGGTTCATTCATCATCGTCCCATTCTGCGACGAATCATTCTAATTCTTTCCATTTCTCTTTTTTCTTTCTTGGACTTAGCTTTTTTTTTTTTTCCCTTTTCCTTTTTTGACCGACGACGAACTTGCTTGACAAGAACAAGACCAACCTGCCCACTACGAATCACTTAACTTTAGTGTCATCGAGATCCAATTTATCCTTTAGCTTCCACTCGTCTGTCAGTTATCTGTACTACCCAATTCAATTCCCCCACGGTAATGGCTTCTTGAAATTCGGTTATCCTCCCCGCCTCCTGTCCGCTAGGACCAAGCGACGACATGCTTCGATATTCACCCAGAATGATCACCACAATACCTCCTAAGCCACCTACATCCTCTTGCCGCCATGGATCCGCAGCAACCGAACCAACCTCATCAACTCCTTACCGACAATAATCCACCTTTCTCTTCCGTTCCTTCTAGGACTGCGAATAGTACCCCGACTTCCTCCCCGGGCCTGTTCAGCCCTACGAACCCTCGTCCCAATGCCTTCTTCCCCCATTCCGCCTCCGAGGCTTCTACGCCGATGGCTACCACGGCTAGTCCCTATCTGCACCCGCTGCAGAATCATAGAGTCCGAGAGTAAGTCACGCACGACTAACATGGAGAATATTATGGATTGGTATTACCTAGAATCGGATTATGAGTGTTGAAGCCGAAGAGAGGCTGAGCTCGATCTCCGATTGGGATCTTTGTTTGGGCGTTTCGTCTGATTCGCATTTGGCTAACTAATATTGGCGAATATAGGACACATAAAGCCCTCGTTGACTTGAACCTAATGACAGGACGAAAGATCATCAACCAATATGAAGTGATAGAAGAACTTGGCCGGGGTGTACACGGCAAGGTGAAACTGGCCCGAAACTTGGAGACTGGAGAGAATGTGGCGATCAAGATCATCCCCAGGTTCTCTAAGAAGCGCCGCCTGGGGAAAGTTACTGCGTCTCCCCAGGACAAGACGAAACGAGAGATTGCTATCCTGAAAAAGATCCGCCATCCTAATGTCGTCGCCCTTCTGGAAATCATCGACGATCCGGAGTTAAAGAAGATCTACATGGTCTTGGAACATGTCGAACTAGGAGAGGTTGTCTGGCGGAAGAAGGGATTACCCTACATCTGTAGCATCGAGAGACGAAGGATTGAGAAAGAAGTCCGAGGGGAACTGAGTACCGAAGAAGAAGAACGCTATATTCAGCTTCTCGAAAGACGGCAGGCTCTCAATGACGTGAAGAGGGCAAAGATGATGCAGACTCAGAAGGGCCCGGATGATTTTTGGAGCATCGAGTACGGCGCCGCAAACGATGACGACTCCGAAGGCCAACCGCGCTCCTTAGGAAGAGCAGGGAGCGAGCTTATCCGTTCAAACAGAATAGCTTCATCTAGGACTGGATCAAGAGCCACCTCCCCGACTCGTTCGCACGCTCAATCTGCACCTTCAGGTTCTCGCGCGGGTACACCATTACCCTCGGAATACGATGCCTCTTCAGTTGGTATAGACGGCGAAAGCGACATCGAGACTCCTGGGCCCCTGCGTTCTCATCCCGGATCATCAGCTGCACTAGATAGGACCATCGCTTCGGCGTTTCCTGAGGATGCTATGTTTCGTGGTCGATCTCCGAGTATGGCTGACTCTATCATTTCCCATATGTCATCGGTTGATTGTAACCAACAACCGCATGACCCCTTCGCCGATGACTATTCCTATGTTCCTTGCTTCACAATCGATCACGCCCGTGCTACTTTCAGGGATACTGTGCTGGGATTAGAATATTTACACTACGAAGGAGTAGTCCATCGTGATATCAAGCCGGCCAACCTCTTATGGACTCGAGACCATAGAGTAAAAATTTCCGACTTTGGTGTTTCCTATTTTGGCCGACCGATTCGTGAGGGTGAACCCGATGAGCTCGTATCGGAATCCGAGGCTCGCGACTTCGATGACGATCTTGAATTAGCCAAGACCGTTGGCACGCCTGCCTTCTTTGCACCAGAGCTATGTTATACGGACATAAGCGAAGAACAACCGAAAATCTCGGAACAAATTGACGTATGGTCTCTAGGAGTGACGCTCTACTGCCTAATCTACGCCCGCATCCCATTCATGGCCGAGGACGAATTCCAGATGTTTCACAAGATCGCCAAGGAGGATGTATATATCCCACGCCGCCGACTTAAGCCGGTCGATCCTCAGCATTCCCCGTCGTCTATGTCTTTATACAAACGTGTTAACAGCGAGCCGTACCGCGACGATAGTGTCCTTGCATATGAAGAGATTGACGATTTGCTATACGACCTCTTACATCGGATGCTGACTAAGAATCCGGAGAAACGGATACGGTTAAGGGAGGTGAAGCGCCATCCTTGGGTTGTGCAAGGTATTCCTAACCTCATTGCATGGATTGACGAGACAGACCCTTCGCGTCGCACTTCTGGTCGCAAAATCGAAGTCGACGAACGAGAAATCACTCGTGCTGTCGTTCCTCTTACGTTTCTGGAAAGGGCTCGCTCGGTTGTGAAGAAAACTATCGGCAAGGTTATGCACCCGCGTGCTGAGAGGACGGAAGGCCACTCGAGGAGAAGGGCAGCTAGCAGCGCTGCTAGTTCCGCAGGAGATGTACCTTCGACTATAGGTTCGACTATAGGTTCGACATCACACATTCGAGATGCTCGCCGAAAGAGTTTACGCCCCGATGATTATTTTGCTACGGTCCGAGAAAGTGACCATCCCCTATCACAAAGTGTTAGTGTAACTCCTCAGGAGTCTCCGGTCCATGATGGACCGGATTCTACCCAACGTGGGTCGGTTTTGGTAGGCGGAGATTTTAGACGCAACCTAAGCGGCTCTATCAGCGATTTTAACGCGCAACCAGATCTGGCAGGACCGCCGTCGACATCGACTTCTTACTCGTCAATCAAGGGCCATTTGAGTCACGGTCGCGGGCACGGTCGGACAAGATCGATAACCAATGCAATCCTTGCTCTCGCACCTGGAAGAGACTCGCATACCATGCCGAATTCTCCTGCACTTGAAACTTGCATTAGAGATGATCCAATTACTGCCTTGCGGAAGACCCGAGATATCGATTCGACGGATGAGTCATCTCGATCACGGTCGGTAGATCGTGGATTGTTTGGTTGTGCCGATAAACGCGCTGAAGCTAAGGTTGCTTTAAGCACAGCTGTAGCCCCTGGCAATATGGAACTCCCCAGGCGTCCCCTTTCGGTCCACCCACCGGAAATCAAATCATATACTTTTCATCGGGGAACTGCCTTGGCTTCTCCTATGTTCTTTTCTTCTAGAGCTGTTGGTAATTATCAGCATGGTCAGCCAAACTCAGACCCCAACATGCATGAAAATCACATGGGTACCGCAGAGTTAGATAAACGGCCCGTGACTGCTCATCGAGCCACACAAGTGGAAGGCCATACCCAACCACTCAAGGTATACGACCCGTCTACTCCAGATTCTCTTGCCCGAATTCATGAACACGTGATGCGCCGCCGACAAGAGGATGAAGAACAATCGAGACGTGAAGAGTTCGAACCTCACGAAGATGATACTACGCCCATTCCCTATCCTTCTTCACCAGAAGACGAACTAAGCCTAGAACATACCCAACCACCATCTAGGGAAGATACTGGAACCGCTGGGACATCAGCTTCAGCATCAACTGGCACGCTGATGACACCTCTGACCAGCCCGAGCGAGTCGACAAGTCCAGTCGGCCTCGGGAGTTTACCAGGTCAGGGCGAAGATTCACCCGTCTTCCGCTCAGACCCATCGCTTCCGGCGCTGCTCAGCGGCGCTAGCTCTATATCTGCTGATGCCGAAGGAGAATTCCTTTTAAGGCCAGGCTCTGTTGACCGACCTTCCCTTATTGATACTACCGACTCATTAACCCCACCTGCTCTTACAAAGGAGCCGATCTCAGGGTTTCCTTTGGAAGACGATGAACATTTCCAAACGCTATTACTTCCTCAGCCCCAGCGTTCCTTCGCCACATCATCCCTCCTAACCACAAGAGCAGTCGATGATGACGACGGTAGCGATAGCGATGAAGGTCTCGTAATGAAGCCTAAGAAGCGGAATCCTGTTAAAGACCACACCAGCTCGCCGCTAGGAAGAACATTATCAAGTGCAAAGAGACGTGATACGCAAACAAGCATCGGTAGCACAGAAACTGCCAAAAAGATACTCATGCACAGTCAATAAAGGTTGATGCCACTACATGTGTTGACGCCTCTGCATTACATCAGGGTAACTACTGTCTAACTACTACCCTTCATATATGAGATACATGAACATGTATCAAGCCGATCCGTTCGTACATCGGATGCGGAATATAACTCTCATTGAGAGCGCTATGGTCGAAACGCCAAGCTTTTTGCTGCGAATGCAACCAAAGTGGAACGCATAACGAACGTTCACGCGGAATCTAGTTCAATCTAGTAGACATTTTTAGCAACCACGAATAAAGCCTCAAACTAGCTACATTGAGGCTATTGGGATCGAGGCGAGCCAATTTATTTTTACTTTCAAACGATCAATCACCTCTCTTTTTCAGGAGAAAATGTATAACATACAAGTTTTATTGCTTTGGGATGATGTTTGGGCGCGACGTCGATGGAACTGAGTACGACGAGATGATGGTACGAGACATGAGCATGCTCGGCGATATCAGGTATGCTTGGCTTCTCGGTCATGCATCAACTACTTTTTATTTCGCGGGATGTGGACATGGCCTGACGACGAAATTGTAAAGATGAACCACATAATCGTGATGTCTGATGCGTGTTCGGGCCCCTGCTTCAACTTTTGTTTATCAATTATTCGGATGAGCCGCTAGGCTTGCTTTTCCCTGTTAGAGATGAACACCACGAAACGGTTGGGCAGTGACCAAATGAACATCAAAAAAGGCATCGGACAGAAGGGAGTAGGATGATATTCCGGGGCGGCGGTAATCTGTTTTGAGCGTACTGATAGACCATAATTTGATATGCATCCTAGTGGAGTTTTGATGGGCATTTTTATTATTATCATTTATACCATTATCTTTAGGTACTGTGTATACGGATGTTATGGTGATTTAAAATTGTTAATGCAGCATTGGTATACACTATTTAACTATTTATATTTAGGATAACAGCATCGTCAGAACTTAGACTTCCAGTGAGATTTTTCTTATACATATGTTTTTTTTGCCCGTATCATCTATCTAGATTAGATTAAGAGTGACGCTGTACGCTTTCTTCCCTCTATCTTCTATCTACACTCCAAAGGGGTAAGTTTCTCCCTTTGATAAAGCCTCTTTTGGCTGTGCTATTTCAAATGCGTTAACGGCACTCGTGCTGTCAAACCAAACAAAGGCATCATACTGTTCACTAAGAATGGTCTTGATATAGTGGCTCCATCTCTCAGTACCCGGCCTATATATCACGCCGATGAATCGCTGCAACATGGGTTCGGTCTTCAAGCGGCGCAAGTCAACCATGAAGGAGGAAATTCCAGTATCATGCATCATCCTTTCATAACTATCCTGTCGCGAAGGTACTAAATTCATGACCTTCATGGGCTCATCCCACTCGTCTGCGGCGGCAACGGTTCCTATGTGCGTTCCACATCCTATTATAGTGACCTCGCCCGGGTAGTTCTCCCGGCATAGCTGTCCTAGGTTAAGCTCGCCGCGTTTAGCTCCCATGCTCGACCCTCTGGCGTCTCCCAGATGCGAGTTATGTGCCCATACCACGACTTTGGAGCCGGGCTTTAGCTTGAGGAGGCGCGATAGAGTGTTAAACATGTGGGTGTCGCGAATATTCCACGACGTCTTGTCGCCGTGGAACATGGCCCGATAGTATTTCTCGGAGTCGCGGACTACACGAGCATTCATCTCGGCATCTACAAAGGATTCGCGGTCCTCCGGGTGTGAGGCCAATTCGATCCGTTTCTTGAGGAGTTCCTGTAACATCTTGATCACACCAGGCTCGCATTTAGCTGAGCCCTCGTGGAACGACTTGCGCCCGTACTCTTGCGGGTCATCAGTCCATGGCTCTAGACAGCCATATCGCTTCCGAGCTGCTTTAGCGAGGACTGGGTCGACCTATTTACGATATTAATACACGATAACTTAGCATGGTCAATATTTATAAACATGATAGCCTACCCTATCGAGATACTCGACCACCGCCCGAATCGAGGAACCCATACTGTAAAGATCGAGCCCGTTAAATGATGTTCTGCGGTTCATAGGCAGCTGAGCGTTGTGCTCTCGGAGCCAATCAACAAACTCCTGTACTTCGGCATTCCGCCACATCTAGGACAACATAGGATATTAGAATATCTCAAGGAAAACATACCAAGCCATGGCAATGATATAGTTGGGAATTTCTCATACCCAACGCGGGAAGTGATCAAAAGCACGAATAGGCACATCCTCAGACCAGCGAGGATATTGCCGTACATAATGATCGATAGATCGCGCGTCTGGCCAGTCACCCTCGATAGCCACGTGAGTGAACCCATGCTCTTCTATCAAGCGTTTCGTGATAGCAGCACGCGCTCGATAGAATTCGGACGTCCCATGGCTATTGTAATTTGTTAATAAGCTGCATACTGCCGTCAAAGCTGGATTAAAAGTACTGACCTCCCGTCGCCAATAAGAACTAGGCGGGAATTTCCAAATATATCAAACTTGGCTCCGAACTCATCACTCTCTATTGGAGGAAGCTCCCGCGCAGCACTTTTTAGGAGTTTTGGTAGGCCGGCTGACATTTTCTTACTAAGTCTAAATATCATGTATGTGCAAAATAGGAGGTGATTTCGTTTTTTGGGGTTGTTCTTCAGGGGTTGCCAATTAGGAGATTATCATAAAGTGAACAACATCAAATAAATTTAAGCTAATGTGTTAAGATTAATTATATTTATCGTCTCTGGGGTATCGTATATACTCAAGATGATATCGCCATCCTTGTGGCGACCCAAAAGTGGGCAAGGCTCAATATATCACATTTCGTCATAACGACATAACGGCCAGATCTAGGCCCCGTACCCCAACCTATCATTCGTATATTTGTCAAAATGAGGACAGAACGACTACATAAGATGGATATCTGGGCTATCACGAATCCTGCTTGCATTCCTCCTTACTCGAAAAAGGGGGGAGGTCTTGTGAGGCGAAAGTAGTAAAAATAAAATTTTCTTTTCTTCTTGATTGGAAAGGTTTAGTCTTTGATTTTGAAATTATTTTTCGTATTTATTACTTGATAAGTCACTTTAAATACGGACAATAAATATGACTATTTACTTAATTAATCTCATGGAAACTAATACATTAGGTAAGGAGTATGAATATTTATATAGAGCTTTGTGTCACGAGGTGGAACCAAACAGCATGGAAAGAAGCCACGAGGGTCTATGTTTATACATACTAAATATATCCTTTGTTTTAGATGTCTCATCTAGAATCATGACAACTTGCATGGAAACTTCTAGTTTAGGACCTGAAGTGTACCTCACAAGAAAGCAACTCGGGATCAAGTTAGTGTTAGTGAGTTAGTGATCTACCTGAAACAGCAGATATAAGTGCCACAAGTGCCGTTGGGTTATTTGAAAACTGAAAACTAAAAGTCAAGTTCAACCTACCTTAGGTAGTTGAGTTGGAAATTTATCCTAATACAGCATCCTATTTCTTCTCTTCTTATCTACTAGGACCAGGAAAACTAAATTAAGTAGGTCTTGTAAACTCCAGCTTTTGAACCAGAATACTCAGTGCAAGGGATAATATAGTTGAAAAATAGGGGATATACGAGAGTGATTTACTGAAATATCTTTTGTAACTCAGTCATAAATTAAATCCAGGTAGTCAGGTAAAAAGAACTACAAAGTCCATTCGGCAGCTGCTGAATCTTGCATGTTAAACTGGGACTTGCCTGTAATTACTCTAGTAACCAAGTATATCCTAAGGTGCGTTATCGCAATTATCACAACGCGACAGAGACGCGTCTCGATAAATCTGATTGTTTGTTCATGCCCCGTCTAACTTAGGTAGGCACTCTTTACAGATTTACACCAAAGCACATTTTTTTCCCCAAGTTACCATACAACTCTATCTACCCTCCGCCAACATAGGATCGAAAGCTTCATCGTTCCCTAGAATTAAAGTGTTCCAACCGCATCAAATGGTTGCTTTAATTTATTAAGTACCACTTCTATACTATGACCGAGATGGACGATCCGATCATAGAACGGCATGACGCCGACCAGGAGACTATAAATCCTATTATTGCCAGTCTTCTAGCACTGCAGTTGCATACCGATGAATCCAACAGTGTCGGCGACATTACCTCTGATGGACACCCAGCTTCGCAGACAGATGGGGAAGAAGAGGATTACCAGGAGAATCAAAATGACCACCACTTCCAAGATGCGGACTTCGATCTCGATGGCAATATCTTAGAAGGCAGCAACAACAATACTGATGAAATGCATGAGTGTCTTGCCTGCAATGAAATGATAGAAGCTCATCTGTTAGCAAACGCACCTTGCAAGCATAAGTATTGTTCTGGCTGTCTGAAGCAACTATTCCGTAACGCCATAACCGACGAGACACTCTTTCCTCCACACTGCTGCGGCCAGCAGATTCCCCTAGAAGTTAACCAGCATTTACTCGGAGAGGATTTGGTTCGGGATTTCCGAGATAAAGTAGTCGAGTTTTCGACACAGAACAGACTGTACTGTCACCAAGCAACCTGCTCCGCCTTTGTCCACCCTGACATGCACGTCAACGGTGTTGCAACATGCCGTAAGTGTCAGTCTACGACATGCACTGCCTGTAGGGGCCCGTCTCATAATGGCGACTGTCCCCGCGACGAAGCTCTTCAGGAAGTTCTCCGATTAGGCCGAGAAAATGGATGGCAACAATGTCCCAACTGCCGATCGATGATTGAACGGGATACTGGTTGTTACCAGATAACGTGAGTATTCCTAGTTATAACCTTGAAGAACCCTCAGGTTAATTAGCTAATTATGTCCTAGTTGCCGTTGCGGTGCTCAGTTCTGCTACCTCTGTAGCCGGCCCTGGAAAACATGCCACTGCACCCAATGGGAGGAGCCCGAATTCTATTTCCGAGGGGGAGCGGTTCAAGACGGAGTCGACAATGGCCATAGAGCGGCTAATGCAATCGGAGACATTGATCCAGATGATGAAAGGAGATTTATGGATATTCTCCGTGGCTCGATCCTAATTGATAATAGGTGTGAGCACCCATCTTGGCGCACTGTAGGGGAAGATAATGGCTGCGAGATTTGTTACAGCTACACGGGGTCCATTATATATGAATGCCTCGTGTGCCGCTTTGTGGTCTGTGAAGGATGCCGACATAATTTCCTCCTATAAGGAGGGGAACTGGCAAGACACAGACGTGGGAAAGGAGATATTGCTGATCGATGGACATAATCGTAATGATTCGGAGAGATTTTAATCGTTGTTTTCTCGAAAGGGTTCTCGCATGTGGCAGTTTGCACATTAGGTGCATTTAGAATGCCCCTTTGCTTTAGTAGTCTTAGGTAGTGAACATGACTTAATAAAACGAATGCATTTTTATTTTATTAGTGCTGTCTACACAAGTTCGACGTAGCACCCTTAAGGGGGTATTGCGTATTGATTAAAGAAACGGGTAAAATTTGGAATTTAATTAAGATTTATTTTATATATATAATTTTATTAAAAACCTTATATAATTTAAATATATTTTTTTTAATATATATATTTTTTTTATAATAATATTTTATAATTTATATAATTATATAATTACGTTATATTTTTATTATAATATATATTTATATATTAATTTATTATAATTTTTTATATTTTATTAATTTATTATAATTATTTATATTTTAATATTTTTTTATATATTAATTTTTTATATTTTAATATATATTTATATATTAATCTATTATAATTTTTTATATTTTACTAATTTATTATAACTATTTATATTTTAATATTTATTTATATATTTAATTTAATTTATTTTTATATTATATAATTTATTAGAAAATATTTCTATATATTTAAATTTTTATTTTTTTATTATATATTTAAATATATTTAGTAAATATATAAAAGGTTAATAATTAATAATTAATTTTTAAAAAGATTTTAATTATAATAATATAATTATAAAAGGTTTTAATTATAAGTTAAAAGTTTTAAATAGATTTTAATTATAGGTTAAAAGTTTTAAATAAATTTTAATTATGGTATAAAGGTTTTAAATAAATTTTAATTGCGGGTTAAAAATTTTAAATAAATTTTAATTATAGTATAAAGGTTTTAAATAAATTTTAATTATAATATAAAAATTTTAAAGTTATATAATATATAATGGTTAATTATATATATTTTTAAATTTATTTTTAATTATTTTAAGGTTTTTTTTTTTTTAAATCTTTTTTAAATTCTTTTTTTAATATTTTTTTAAAAATAAAATTATTAATATTTTTATTTATTAAAATTTTTAAAATAATTTAAATATTATTATATATCAATATGGTTAAATTAATTTTATTAAAATTAAAAATTTTTAAATTTATTTATTATTTAAAATAAAATATTTTAATATATTAATAAATATAAATAATTATTTTTTAGCAATATTTTTCAATAGTTTTATTAATTAAAGATTAATTAAACTTATAAAATAATAAATAAATAAAAGTATTTTTTAAAAATTTTTTCTATTAATTATTAAATTTTACCTTATTTATTAAATTTAATTTATTTAAATTAATTTTTAATTTTTTAGTAAATTTATTAAATTTTATAACATATATCTTTATAACGCCGTTTTTATAAAAACAAAAATCTTCTTATAATTTATATTAAAAATAATAATAAAATTATAATATATTATTATAATTTAAAAGAAATTTATAATAATTATATATTTTAAAATTTATAAATATTTTAAATATTATTTAAATACTAATAAATTACTTATATAATATAGTATTTTTTTATTATTATATTCTTTTTTCTTTTTTTTTAGTAATTTAACATTAACGGTTACGTTATTTTATATTATCGGCGATAAAGTAAAGTTAGTTGTTTTTTATTATAAATGGTCTAATATAATCTAAAATATTTTTTTTTAATTAATATTATTATTATTTAATAATTATTATATATAAGTTATATAATTTTTTTATAATTATAAATTTATTTATAACTATTATATATATAATTTTTTTAAATTTTTAATAAACATATATTATAGTAAAAAATATTAATATTTAGTTAATTTCTAAAATCTTTAAATAAAAATAAATAAATTTAAAAAATTTATTAATAATTTATAAATTTATTATTAATATATATATAATTGCCTAATTAATTTCTTTACGTAAAAATAAAATTATTAAACCTTTATCCTTTTAATTAAAAACAAATATTACATAATTAAGTTTATTATAATATAAAATAATTATAAAAATTAATAATAATAAATTTTAAAAATAATTTAACATTATTTATAACTTATAAAAATATATTCCATATTTATACCAAATATTTTTAATATTATTACACGTAAATATACAATTATAAATAAAACAGTATTTAATTAAAAAATTAACTTTAACATAATTATATATATTAGTTTTAATAATTTAAATAAATTATTATTAATATTTTAATTTTAATATATTAAAAAATTTAAAATTAAATAGTTAAAATTTATATATAAAATAAAATAATAAAAAAAATATAATAATCTTTAATTTAATAACTTATTCATAAAATTAAATTATTAAATAATTACTATAATTATTTAATATTAAAAAACGTTTTTTATTAAAATTTTCTAATATTATATATCAATTAAAATATTTAAATTAATTTAAACTAATTACATTATTAATTTAACTATTTTTATTAATAATTAATATTATATTATTAATTAATTTATTAAATATCTAATTTTTTAATATTTAATAATTAAATAAAATTAAAAATAAAACTATTATTACCTTTATAATAAAATAAATTTTAATTATTATAATAAATATCTTAAAATTAAAATTAATTAAATAAAATTTTAGAAAATTATTCTAAATTTATAATTATATTTTATTTAAATAATTAATTTTTATATTAATTTTATTTATATTATATATATATTAAAATTTAATATAATAATTTTATTATATTTAATATAATTTATTAAATTAATAAATAATAATAATAATATTATAAATTAATTTATAAATAATTAATATTAATTGGTTTTAAATTTATTTAAAAATATAACAATTTTATTTTAAAAATCAAATTACTTATTACTATTAAATATATTTAAATAAAAACATATATTATAATTAAATAAAATAATTTAATTAATAATATATTAAATAATATTTATATTAATATAATAATTAATTTTAATTAATTAATAAAATTATATATAAAAAATTATTTTTTAAAAATTAATAAAAATAATATTATTATTATTATTTTTATTATAAAAATAAAATTTATTATATTAATTTAAAATATATTTATATAATACATTAAAATATTTAACAACATTTTTAACTAATTTAAATTAACTTTTAAAAAAAACTTAAACTATTAATTAAATTTTAATTTTAATAAAATTATTAAAAATTATAATAAATAAAATAAAAATAATAAATAAAAAAATAAAAATAATATTAATTAAAATTAAAACAAAAATACCAATTATTATTTTAAATATTACAATAATTTTAAAATTATTTATATTATTAATATATAAAAAATATTAATAAAATATATAATTTATAAATAAATAATAATAATTAATATTAAATATAAATAAAAAAAAAAAATAATTAAAATTTTAACATTAAATATTATAATTTATATAATTTTTTAAAACTTTTATAATTTTATTTTAACCATTATATATATATATTTTATTAATATTAATAATTAAACTTATTACGTAAATTATATAAATCATTTTAAATATTCTAAATAAAATAATATTAATAAAATAAAAAAAAATAATCCAAAATAATAATATTTAATAAAAATAAAAAAAATAAAATATTAAAAAAATATACTTTATATTAATAACTATAAAATTAAAATTTAAAATTCTATTATTATTTAAATAAATTTATAAAATTAATTTTTAATTAAATTATATTAAATAAATATTATTAGTAAAATTTAAAATATAATAAATTTTATAAAAATTATTAAAAATAAAATATAAATATATTTTATTAAAAAAATTATTTACTTTACTCCATTTTAACCTTATATTTCTTTGCCTTTATTTCCCATATTTTCTAAAATTTTTATTTCTATAATTTCCCTATTAAATATAATAATATATTTTTTAGATATAATAATATCTTTATTATAATTTAAACTAAAATATTTAATTAGTAAATAGGTACAATATTGTAATAACATTGTATGCAAGGGTTTATTATATAATCTTAGCTTTTAAGGCCATATAAGGTCTTTAAATCATTATATTTTCTTAATTATCATTATTAATATAAATTTTTTTACTTTTAATAATTATTAAATATATATTATTTATATTTATTAATTTTATAATTATTTATATTTATTATATATATTTTTTTCTATATTAAATATATTTATTTTTTTTTTTAAATTTAAGCCTTATTTTTTAATTAATATAATCTATTATATATTTAAAAATAAAATGTTATTTTTAATTATTAGGAATATTTTTTATAAAGATTTAATATATTAAATATATAATCTTATTTTAAAAATTATCCTATTTTTATTTAATAACAATTATTATAAAATTTAAATTTATAATTTTAGTTTTAAAAAGATTAATTAAATATTAGTTAATTAAAATGGTTTTATAAATTAGGAAATTAATTTCGAATATTTATTAGTATAATTTATAATTAAAAATAAAAGGATTATAAAAATTTTAAATATATTAGATATTAATAATAAATTGTTATTAAAATTTTAAGAAATATTCTTATTTATTAATATTATTTAATTAATAAAACTTTTATTAAATATAAAATAGTTATAATTAAATTATATTAAAAAAATATAAATAACGTTTAAAAAATATAAAATAATTTATAAATTAAGAAGTTTAGAATAATAATTAATAAAATAAATTTATATATTAAATAATATTAAAATATTAAAAATATAATAATAAATAATAATATATAATTTATAATAAAATAAATATAAAAAATTATTAAATTAGGTTTATTTAAGACAATAAATAAGATATAATTAAATATTAATATAAAAAAGATGTAAATTAAAACACTATTTTATAGTTATATTATTAAAGCTAATAATATAATATAAATAGAAAATAAATCCTATAATTATAAAATCTACCTAATTAATATTATAATTATATTAAAAGATTTATTAATTAAATTATTAAATTAGGATAAATAGTATATTATT